AGCTAGAGCTAGAGCTAGAGCTAGAGCTAGAGCTAGAGCTAGAGCTAGAGCTAGAGCTAGAGCTAGAGCTAGAGCTAGAGCTAGCGCTAGAGCTAGAGCTAGAGCTAGAGCGAGAGCTAGAGCGAGAGCTAGAGCTAGAGCTAGAGCCAGAGCTAGAGCCAGAGCTAGAGCTAGAGCTAGAGCAAGAGCTAGAGCTAGAGCTAGAGCTAGAGCTAGAGCTAGAGCTAGAGCTAGAGCTAGAGCTAGAGCTAGAGCTAGAGCTAGAGCTAGAGCTAGAGCTAGAGCTAGAGCTAGCGCTAGAGCTAGAGCTAGAGCCAGAGCTAGAGCCGAGAGCTAGAGCCAGAGCTAGAGCTAGAGCTAGAGCTAGAGCTAGAGCTAGAGCTAGAGCTAGAGCTAGAGCTAGAGCTAGAGCTAGAGCTAGAGCTAGAGCGAGAGCTAGAGCTAGAGCTAGAGCTAGAGCTAGAGCTAGAGCGAGAGCTAGAGCTAGAGCTAGAGCTAGAGCCAGAGCTAGAGCTAGAGCTAGAGCCAGAGCTAGAGCTAGAGCTAGAGCTAGAGCTAGAGCTAGAGCTAGAGCTAGAGCTAGAGCTAGAGCTAGAGCTAGAGCTAGAGCTAGAGCTAGAGCTAGAGCTAGAGCTAGAGCTAGAGCTAGAGCTAGAGCTAGAGCTAGAGCTAGAGCTAGAGCTAGAGCTAGAGCTAGAGCTAGAGCTAGAGCTAGAGCTAGAGCTAGAGCTAGAGCTAGAGCTAGAGCTAGAGCTAGAGCTAGAGCTAGAGCTAGAGCTAGAGCTAGAGCTAGAGCTAGAGCTAGAGCTAGAGCTAGAGCTAGAGCTAGAGCTAGAGCTAGAGCTAGAGCTAGAGCTAGAGCTAGAGCTAGAGCTAGAGCGAGAGCCAGAGTCAGAGCCAGAACTAGAGCTAGAGCTAGAGCTAGAGCTAGAGCTAGAGCTAGAGCTAGAGCTAGAGCTAGAGCTAGAGCTAGAGCTAGAGCTGGAGCTAGAGCTGGAGCTGGAGCTAGCGCTAGCGCTAGTCAGAGTCAGAACTAGAGTCAGAGTCTGAGTCAGTTGCGATCAAATATGGCTGCGTGATTCGACTTGATTCGAATCGATACATGTAAGGGAGGAAGTGATTTATTCGGTTTGAATCTTGTTTATCTTCAGTTGCTTCTGCAACCCCTCACCCTCAGGTACCCCTGGTTCTAAGAGACTTTCATTATACCAGGTACCGGGTTCATGGATTCCATCTGTGACCACCCCACTGTTTCCTGTAGTAGCATTGTTGTGACTTAACAAGGGGTCCCTTGTCCCCTCCCTGCTTGTGTCTCCTGCTCTCTTGCAGTCTGTCGTCACCCTTTCCTCTTCCACACCTCCATCGCTCTAAGTGAGCTACCCGACGACCTCTCATGACCTCTTGTCCCGCATGCAGCACCGCTCTGCCTCCTGGCGCTCGCTTCTGCACTCACTGTTCATACTCACAAACTCGTTGTCCTTTCTGCAACGCACACCTCCCCGACCCATCTGGTGCCTGTCTCAACTGCAGGAGGGTCTCTCCTTCGGCATCACGCTCAGTCTCGTCGATGCCCGCGGCTGCGCCAATTACTTCCGGCTACGCACAGCCCAACCAGCAAAGCTACTCCATGAATGTCGGAATGAACTTGGGCGTGCCACAAAGCATGCATCAGAACTTCAACTTCAACCAAGGAATGGCTATGACGCAGCATGCTTATAGGCAGCCGATGATCCAGCAGCAAGCCTTCCCCTTTGGTCTCCCAGGGTCTCAGGATTCAAACCTGCTTAAGACTGCCGGCGCTGGCATCAACAGCATGCAGCCTAAAGCTTTTAAGCAGATGTCGAATCAAACCTTTGCAGGCCAGTCAGGTGCTCCAAAGAAGCTTGACTCTTCTCATATCAATCCATGGATCTTTGCGAACAATGGCAACGGGCTTGCTCTAAGCAGCCCGAAGGTTGTTACTGAAATTGTTCATCCCTGTCTTTCTGACGTACTGACAGGCTCAAACGGTGAGCTCTCCATCGAACAGACACAATTCCAACGACAAGGTGAGGCGATTCATTAGCCCTGTAGAGACTCATCACGCTCAGCAGGACGACTCAAATGCCTTGGATGGTTTGTGTGTCATCTGCCTAGACAAGCAAGCGAAGATGGCGTGTGTACCTTGCGGGTGCGTGTTTACATGCTGCTCTTGACAGGCTACTCACAACTCAGCAGGCACAAGTGCTTGTGCGAAGATCACAGCGCGGGACTGAGAGCATGTCCCATCTGTCGGACAAACGTTCAGACTGTCCTGAAAATCTATGGATGAAGCAGAGCTCTATCACTTTACTCAAAAGTTAGTTAAATCAGAACGAGGCTTGATCACTGTCGGCGCTACATGGACTGTTCGTATAGGTGCATTTGTAATTCTCTCCAACCTTCCTACCAATGTTCCTTGATCAATATAAAGGCAACTCGCTGCTAAACGTTGTGCGTCCTCCTTGATCGTCTGCATAGAGAAGGATCACAGAATGCTTGTTTTTATCTCTTACTGTTCTTCGTCTCCAGGCATATGAGCCTTTCTTTTTCAGTCAATAAAGGATTGGAAAAAAAAAAAAAGAATCTATAGCATCTCAATTTTTATCTTGATGCAACTTCGACTTGAGTTTACACCAAAATAAGAAGGGTCGCAAACGACTTGGTGTATTAGACTTGGTGTATTAGTTTCCGTGAGAAGCAGCAGGATTAAGATAGCTTGATAAAACAAAAATGCCGATAGCCATATACATCATCCAATTTGCGCACAAGCAGGTTGTATCAGTGACATTTCATTGCGGGGTTTGACTTGGCATGCTCCGCAGAGACTGGATATTCTCCTTGTGAAAGTTCCTCTGCTTTCTTTGCAACATGCTGCTCGACAAGTCAAAAGCCGCTGAGTCGATATCCGGCCACAGGCGTACCTCTCCTCAAGCTCTGCAGCTAACCGTGAGTCAACTTTGCTTCCAGCTTGCTCTGGTGGTTTGTACATGGGGAAAGTTCCGACCTGGAAAGAAGGATGAGACCTTTCACGAGTCACGCCGTCGCCCACCAGTTCATAGATCCACTGCATGTCTTCGGTCTCAATGATGAGCTTGGCTGTGTACTTCTTGCCGTACTCCGTGGGTTTGAAGTCGATCTGAAACTTGGTCCCTGTAGCAGCCGGTCACCGCTGAGGAGGCGAACGACTGAATCACCCTCGGATCCATAGCGCTTGAGAACGCCTGAGGTTGGCCTCACAGCAAACGAGGTCTGGGTCTCGGGAAGGAGCATGGCGGTGAAAGCTGTCTCTTCATCCGCCTGTAGGGAGGTAACAGGTAAGTTCTATGAGAGTGAGAGGACGAGAAGGGCACATGGTTGGTCAGGTGGAAGGAGACAGACGACTTCTTGTTCATCGTGCTGGTGATTTCGATGACGTCATCAGCTTGCTGAACGATCATCACGTGACCAGGTGCTACTGGGGTCATGGAGTCAGAGCTCACCGCCTGGTCGGCCACCAGCTCAAGTCGAAATCGCCATCGGCCACCACTAGGATGGGAGACGAGAACCTGAAGCATGAGGCTGAGCCAAGGCAGGAGAGAGAGGTACTTTGGCAACCTGTACATTCGCTCGGATAGGGCGGAGAGGAGCGAACTTCATGTCCAAGTGAACGGATCCCTGAAGACCTTGAACCAACTCGGTGACGAGACAACGCGATAGAAGTTTCTCATTCTCCGGAGGGAAAATCAGCTCAAGCCCCAAACCGCTGCCAGCCTAGAGCAAGGTTGATCAATGGTTGGTGTGACACGTATCATGGCGAGGTACCGCCCCTGAGTCAGAGAGAGTCTGCTTGTCAGCACCAGCGAGTTGTATGGGGATCTTCTCGGCTATAAGATCTCTCGCCCTATCATGGTATGACTGACAGCGACAGCCGCACGCACTTGTTGACCTGCACATGAAGCGTCCAAGGTTGACAGTCACTGGCGCTTCTACCGTCCCCCTGGTGAGATGATCTTGTTAGAAGGAGAGACACAAACGGATGACGTACTTGATGGAATACTCCCATCTCAAGTCCTGATGATGTGCTGTCGAGATGCTCTGTAAGATCAGCGAACAAGAGTACTTAGTGAGGCTGGTAGGGCTGAAGAGCAAGGGAATCTCAACAGTCCTGTATTGCTGCGTGAGACTACTTTGATGCAGGAGAGAATGCGAGGAAACCTGTAGGGCTCGATTTCAAGCGTGGAAGTGTTTTGAAGGAGACTGAAAGCTGCCAGCCCAGTGGTGTACTGGTCTGACTGAATCTTCGCCTAACGAGAACGTGAGTCCAGGAGAAGAGCAGAGAGGAGGAAGACACCTCAAGGTGCAAGGGGGTCTCGAACGGGTTGTTGAAGGAGATGCTGGTGCTGGCGCTTTGGTTGAGCGGAGCTGACATTTGCAGGTGGCTCTGAACAGAGAGATGAGGAGGAGGGAGAGAAGCGTCAAAAGCTTCACCGCAATCCCTTGAGGTTTGGTTCCCCTCCCACTACAAAGGAACCTCCATGACCCTCCAACTTTGTCGTGGAAGGTGATGGACGACGAGTCGACCCTGTCGATGGCATGTGGCGTGTAGAGCGCTTTGATCTTCTCAGCTCACTATCAGCTGCATAGCAAAATCCCATGCGTCACCTCTCGCTTCTCGTAGGGCTGGAGAGCCACGAAGCCTTTGGAAGCATCGACAACTGAGAAGCAGCTGGGGTTGTCAATCTCGACAAGGAACTTGACGGTTGAAGACTAGTCAAGGGAAGAGGTTAGTCCAACTCCTTGCTTGACTGCTTCCTCACTGTCGGATTCTCCACGAGCAACTCGAACTCCTTGCTGATCCCCACCTGCGCAGTGTCATCACACGTTTGAGATGAGCGACGATAATGGAGAGAGGAGCAGGAAGACCTGGGTTTCTATCGTGTCAACTTGGATGGGATCGGCTTCTTCTGCTGTCATTCTTAACTGATACCTAAAAAGACGTCAATCGCAAATCCTTCTCGTCAGGATCCAATACCAGAACTCTCCGATGTCTTCGTTGACAAAGGAGATAGCTCCCTGAAAGCCGAGTGACCTGAGAACAACTGCAAGGAATTGACTGACCATGAACTGTCCAGCCAGCAACGGGGCAAAGATGGCTTCATAGTTCTGGGAACCTCCAGCGCTTATCTGCAGCTACACTGTCACAACTGCTCAAGTCAGGCAACAGACTCTGGACCGTGAGGCTTTCATATCCAATCAAACCATCTCCCTCCAGGACCACTTGGAAGGTGATGTCTTGGTCCATCGGATTGCTCACTCCGATCTCCACGGCTACAGCGCTTCGCACTTTGGTGGAGACCTGGAGCGGCGGGTCAGAGCTGCTTCCGGTCGAGGTGACCCAGACCTCGATCTCTCGCTCAAACTTGGGGTTCTCAGCATGGACCTCCAGCGTGTACCTGGGGGACAAGGTGGGTCAGAGGTGAAGGGAGGAGATGAGCGGTGAGCAAAGTGAAGGAGCTTGCCAGAAGTAATCCCCAGCTGGATCTGTGAAGGTCACGCTGCCGAAGAATGTTCCTCCCACTGGAGGCTGAACGTAAAGCGGATACTGCACCTCTACCGCCCCCTTTCTCAGCTCGCAAGTGCTTGCACCTGCGTGGATATCACTTCATAGTTCCCCCTCCTCCCTCTCCTCCTTCAGTCGCTCCTCCTTGTCTTGACCGTGATCACCTGTAATGAAGCGCAAGTCTGTGTTGACCTGATAGGTTATCGGCAGGTCTTTTCCGGTCGCGTTCTTGACCTGACAGTTGTGTCATCTCCTTCACGTCAAACTTTATCCACCATGATTGAGGTCGAAGTTCGTTTCCTCGCCACACAATCGATCACAATGTGATCTTCAGCCACCGGGTCCTCCCCCTGCTAGGTTGTCAACTGACCCGCGCCCCAAGTCCTGACTTTGCACCTGACCCACGAGCTTGTACGAGTACTTGTCGCTGGTGGTCGCGTTGAGCAGGGTCAGCTCTCCTTCTGCTCGCATCGGCTTCTTGGGAGCGAACGACACCACGTAGTTCTTCTGCGCTCCTGCTGGCACTCGCAGCTCATTTCCTCCTGAGAAGAAGTTCCTGACCAACAGACCGTTGAGACTGTTGAGAAAAAGCAGCAGGGGGAAGAGGAGTTGAATGAGAGAAAACGAGGAGGAGGAAGAGAAAGAAAGGAAGAGATGAGCGAGGACGAGGACGAGGAGCAGTAGGGAGAGAGAAAACAGGAGAAACGAAAAAGAAGGTGGAGGAGAACAATCGAGCTACCCGAGGAGCTGGGCAGTGATGACCCAGTCGTCTGTGCTCCTGTTGATGATGGGAATCTCCTGAACATGACAAGTTGAGAAGAAAAGGAGATACCCAGCTGCTATTGACCTGAGAAATTTTCTGCCTTGCTGGGCATGAGAAGGTCAATTCCGCCTGCCAGGCAAGACTCAGTCTCGTCTCCTCCTCCCTTTCACTTTCCTCCAACGCCTTGGGCTGTATGTTGCAAAGGACAGACAGGACACGAACATCAAGTTTGCTCCTGCAGATGAGTTGTAAATGTCGTGCTTGAGAATGACCCCTTCGCTACCTGAGGATGATCATCCCTTCGTACGTCCCGGGCCCTCGCGTCTCAATCTGCAGCGACAGCTTGTTGACGGAAGGCGCTGCATGACAAGTGAGAGAGAGGAGAGGTAAGTTGACGCGGGGACGAGGTCACGAAGAGAGAAGTCGAGTTGAAGTAAAGACAAGATAGAGGCAGAGATGAGATGGTGAGGTAGAGGTAGAGTAGATAAAGATAGTGAGGTAGAGGTGGAGTAGATGGAGATAGTGAGGTAGAGGTAGAGTAGATGGAGATGGTGAGGTAGAGGTAGAGGTAGAGTAGATGGAGATGGTGAGGTAGAGGTAGAGTAGATGGAGATAGTGAGGTAGAGGTAGAGTAGATGGAGATAGTGAGGTAGAGGTAGAGTAGATGGAGATGGTGAGGTAGAGGTAGAGTAGATGGAGATGGTGAGGTAGAGGTAGAGTAGATGGGGATGGTGAGGTAGAGATAGAGTAGAGTTCGTCAAGATGTTTTCAAGTCGTTCAGCTTGACAAGTTTGACAAGTTTACCTCCAGCAGCAGTGGTGTCTTTCGGAGGGTTTCCGATGAGCACCTGCGGACATTTGAGACGATCAAGACATTTGGATCTGATCTGCTCGCTGACCTCATTGGGCCCACTCATTGATGGGTTGACGTACTGAACCTGCACCCGTGACTTGTCATACTCGTTCACACCCTCCATCAGTTGCAACCTTGTAGGGTTGAGCTGTCAGGTCAGAAATTTCCTGCTTGCAATCAGCCCACAGCATCTCCTCGCGAGTTTGTGATCACCTTGTAGAATTTCTGCCCATTGTCTTTGCCCATCATCTCCAAGACGGTGGATCGAACACGCTCGAGCAGCTGCCAGCAAGGATCAAACATGACAACAGAGGCATCAGATGTACAGCATTCTTTGCTGATAGCTGAAGATCCTTCACCACAACTTTTTTCTCTGGCAGAGAAAACTGAACAGTCGCGTGAGACACGAGAACACAAAGACGGGAGAACAACTTTGAGCGTCTCGCTGACTTTGGGGAGCTGCACGCTAGCAAACACGTCGATCGCAAACTCTCCGTGAGCTGCAGGCAAGTTGTCAAGAGTTTCCAGCTCTTCTCTTCGTCCTCTACCTCAACCTCCACCAATGCTATTAACTCCTCCTCCTCCTTCCATCTCCTCCTCCTTCCATCTTTCTCTTCTCTCTGCTCTCGCTCAGACTTCTCTGACTCTTACCATCATCTTTGAACTTCACGACGCAAGAGTGATCGTTCAGTCTGATGGGCAGGAAGAAGAGAGACATGGTCGTTTGCTGCCCCCGGGCCAACTTGATCTGCTCGGAGATGAGCAGGGAGATGATATAGAAACGCGGAGTAGAAACTCGCCTTATCCTTCTTGATCCAGAAGCTTCTCTCCGGAAGAAGTTTGGACGACGTCACTCCGCCCGTCACTGCCGTCGACACGATGCTGGTCCGCTTCCTGTTCCGCGCTGCCTGGCCCTCGTCATTCTTGGACTCCTGGGAGCGAGTGAGACGGGAGGGCTGGATAAGGAGGCTGACTGAGAGGGAGATGGCGAAGGAGCAGACGTCCGCGTCATACGGATTCACGATCGGAATCTGCTTGCAGATGAATATTTGTCGTCGAGATGTCGATCGAACCTCTATGGTTGCGACTTCGTAGAGCTGCCCAGCGTAGGTGATCTTCAAGAAGTAGTTCAGCGCGAGGAGGAGAGAACGCGAAAGCTCACGGATGAAGATGACTTGTAGGACTTGACAGTAGATTGCATCAGAAACACCTGCAATCTCTCTCACTTTCACCTCCCGGCTTCCTTCACTTGTCAACCATTGGGGACGCTCGATCAGGCGAGACGAAGAACAACGTGGCGGTCGAGGGTTTTGAGAACCTTCGGGAGGAAGGTGATTGCGGAGACAGAGATGGAGAAGAAGGTCAATTAGAAAGGAAAAGAATGCAAATGGTCACCATTGGTTCGGACAGATAAAACAAAAGCCCTCGACTAATTGCTCACCTTGCTCTGTGTTTGATCGCAAAACAAATCTTCTCTCGCGCTTTCATCGTCACTCTCTTTGTTTCTATGGAAAATTCCGAGCTGAAGGCAAAGAGTGAGATAATCGAGTTTCTTGTAAACCCACAAGCTTTGCAAGCACTTGTACAGATGAAACTTAGCGCGTGGGGACAAACTTATTACCTTCCTTCGAGGATCACGTTGTAGGAGATTATTTTGGAGCTCGGATTATGAAGATCGACCTGAAATGCGCAATCAGCTTCTATCAGCTTTCTTTTGTGCTTTCTTCTACTCCTGACTCTCTCACTCCTCTCGTGTCTCCCCCTCCTTCCTTTCTATTCCCCTTCATGTCTCACCTTTCGAACCACCTCACCGTTCAATTTCCCGTCGAACTCGATGGTGGCCTGAAGGGTTGAGAGTGAAACAAGCAGCAGCAGCAGCAGCAGCACATCTGGACCTTGGGAACGAACTGAGGACAAACCTCGAAGAGCGAGAGAGCAAAGACGATGTTGGCTCGAGCCCTCGGCTCAGCAAGAGACTCTGGAAGAGGAAGGAAAGGAAAATGCAGCTCCCTGAAGGGAACGGAGTGAGAGGAGAGCGGGAGAGACGACAAGTCACCTCAGGACTGCCAAAAGTTTCTTTGCGTTTGCGACTCTTTCTTCTAAGTCAACACACTTCTTGATGTTGTCGAAGAGATTCCTGGAGGCGCTTGAGATACAAACAAGGAGGCTGGAGCTTCTCACCTCCTCGAGGGGATGTGGGAGACGATTACGGAAGCAAAGACGCGACAGTCGGCCAGGTCGTCGGAGAAGTTGCTGACAAACAGCTTCTCTCCAGGGAAAATCTGCGATAAGAATGTGAGAAGGTAACCAGGTCTCTTCAAAAGTTGACGATAAGAAACGAGAGGGACATAAAGCCTCGTCAAAAATTGACGACAAAGGTTGACAAAGTCTCTCACTTGCGCATGATGAAACGTCAGCCACTTCAGAAGGATGTTCTCAGATACACTGAATGTGTTGCTCCCTGTGTCATGCTTCACTCATCGGTAAAGTGAACGGTTGTACACCTGTCAACACGTGCAACTTTGAGGCAGAATCTTGTGACTGAGCATCCTCGTTGACCGACCTGCAAGAGAGCAAACGATCATCATCTTTGAGATCTCTCGGACGTGCAAAGTTGACTAGACTGTCTAGATATGATGATCTAAAGCGATTGTCTCAAAACATTTCCCTCGATATGATTATCTTACACAGATTGTCTTTTCAAGATCTTGCTATCAATCTCTTAATGTGTTCATCTAATCTTATCTTCTTGTTGATTTGTATCATCCCTTGTGTTTACCTGCTTTCGGTTTGAAAAGATGTCATCGCCGCATCATAAGATCTTTGCGTGACTCTTCCGATCGCCAGCAATCTTATCACCTGTCGTAACAGTCATGATGACACGATTAAACTACATACAACTTACTTGGTGCAGCAAGATCGACCACATTCCTCTGTCGCATCAAAGTCACACAAAGAGCAAGCCATCCTCCCCTCCCCTTCTCAACTCCTTCGCTCCTCTACTCCTCGCATAGTCTGACCTGTGAAGGACTTCATAGAATTCCTCGAAGAAAGAGAACAAGCTCGACGAGCCCTTGTCCGCCTCTTCCTGTAGATCGAAACCTGTCAGGAGCTGCTCACACTCGTTTGTCGTCCACCATCGGCAAGATAGCCTCGAAGAATTCTTTCTGCGGCAGCAGGTAGGCTGCTGGGCGTTCAGGACGTTTCTCAGCTCCTCCCTCGACTTGCCTGCAACAACGTGTCCTACAAGAGCCCCATGTAGCTTCAGCTGGAGAAGGAGCTGGCCAAGTGCTGTCAGACAAGGGAGGGAGACGATAGAGAGAGGAAGGGGAGGGCAGGAGGAGAACTAGAAAAGATAGAGAGACAAGGGAGCAAAGATTTGGATAACAAGGAAATCTTACCTCCTCGTACGCATCTAAGATTTCGAAGATTTCCTTCCTTTGCTGTGTGTAAGGATGAAGTCAGGCACAACCATTCTTCTTCTACTCTTCCCTTCTTTTCCATCACTTTCAACGTCTCTTCTCCCTTCCCTACATCATTCCACATCCTCGTGCTTGCGTGAAGGCTACCAGTGGTTTTCCCCCTCGCGGAGTCTGAGGATCCATCGCTGCAGCCAGCTTGCCTCCTTTTTGTGTCCCTGACTTCTTGTCCTGTGGCCTCGATCAGCCGAGTAGCAGCTGAGGGAGGAGAGGAGAGGAGAGGAGAGGAGAGGAGAGGAGAGGAGAGGAGAGGAGAGGAGAGGAGAGGAGAGGAGAGGAGAGGAGAGGAGAGGAGAGGAGAGGAGAGGAGAGGAGAGGAGAGGAGAGGAGAGGAGAGGAGAGGAGAGGAGAGGAGAGGAGAGGAGAGGAGAGGAGAGGAGAGGAGAAGCAAGGATAGGATAGCAGGATTTAACAACCTTCTGGAGGGAGGCGATGAGGTCGAAGAAAGCTTTTCCTCGAGAGCTGACCAGCTGGTCGAAGGAGGTGACTGGAGAGAGGAAGAGACCTGCCCAGGATTCGTCAGCAAGAGACTCTCCCCCTCCTCCGTCTCCTTCCTGTGCTTGCCCAGGCGATGAGATCCTCAAGCGGCTGTGGTTCGGAGAGGACAGCACACTCTGCAAAGAGGTGAAAAGAAAGTCGGAGGAGGAGGAGAGAAAGGAAGGAGAAACAAGGACTGAATGACGGAGGGAGAGAGAAGGAAGAGCGGAAGAGGAGGGCAGGAAGGCAGGAGAGATGAGGAAGTACCTGCGAGGAGTGAAAAGATTGACTCGTGCGAAAGGTTGAGCAGCGAAACTTTTCCATCACTCAATCTTCTCGGGTTATAACCTGTAGAGGAAGAGAAGCAATGAAAAGCATCAGTCTCAACAGCAGGTGATCTGGAAAGAGATTTTGAGTTATGTTTGCTTGCCTGCATTTTCAAGAAAATCCTGATAATTGGGCGAAGCATCTGCATTGAGCAGCCGAGATGTGATTACCTAGAGACTGTTCGTTCAGTTCGGCTTCCCCATCCTCCTTCTCCCCCATCACACTCTTTTCTCCCACTACACAATTTCACTTCCCCTCATCCTCCTCTTCCTCCTCCACCTTTCCAGGTCCTCCCGATGTCCTGACGTTTCCATGGTTGAGCTGCAGCCAGGGGTAGACGGAGAAGAAGTTGTTGTCGCTTGTAGCAATCACTTTGATCTGCCATCTTCTTACAACCTCAACGGCATCCTCAACAAATTCACAGTGTATGCTGTCTCGTTCCCATCCAAAAATGACAAATCTGCCAAAGTCGTTACCTTCATCACCTCGATCATCGACCTCCTCCTCCTCCTCCTCTCCTTTGCTTTCCTCGTTCACATTCTGACATTTGTGAAGTTCTCACCAGCATTGACGGAACAACTCTTCTTCGACGAGAAAGTGACATGCACAGGAATTCTTCGCTTTGCCGTGCTGATCACCTTCAACATCCTTCAGACTTGGACATACTAGGACAAATGATGCCCTCACCTCGCCTTCCGGAAATGAGAAAGAAAAGCCGAGACCATCGGGATACATGTGCTTCAGGCATCTGCGATGAAATGAGATGAGAAGAGATTCTCCTGCCATGTTGAAATACAAGTTGTCGAATCCATGATTGATGAGGTAGAAAGTGACTGCTGAGACGTTAGATGAAGCAGATCAGAGCTACATGTACGCTTGCCTGATGAAGTCATGTTGATGGGAACCGTCGGCAAGATGACTTCTCGTCTGTTGAAAGTTCAAGACAGGCATCTAAGTTCATTCGTGGAGTTCAACCTGTCAAAGTAGATCGCAGGGTTCGATCCAAGTCCAACCACCTGTCGATCGCTGTCAACAGAGCGAGCTTTTGAAATCTACATCAACCTCAATGTTGAGATATGGTTTGTCAAGTTTTGATCCGATGTAGAGAAGATATTGACATCTGATGTGATCATCACCGTTGCTAATCCTCTTGTATCTCCATCTCTCGCTCTCTCCTGTACTCACCTGTACTCGCGGTTCACAGAACCTGTGGGAGTGAAGCCCACATTGCATGTGTAACAACTGCCTGCATGCAAAGTGAAGGATAGGTTGTCTGATCCGTGGACCTGTCACAATAAGAAACAAATCAGGCGAAATCATCACAATCATCATCATCATCATCATCATCATCATCATCATCATCATCCTCGTTGTTGTCGTTGTCGTTGTCGTCGTCTTCATTCTCATCATTATCGCTTTCATCACAATCACCACCACCACCACCGCCACAGCCATCATCAGCATCATTCCCAAAGAGCACCAGAGAAGATTCTGTTGATTGAGCTTCGAAGATCTGAAAGTTTCCTCCCTGTCATTGCGTTTCAGATGAGATCTATGTAACGGAGAACATCCACCACTGCAGGTCTTCCGACTTTGCAAGAAGCTGCGGGAGGATCGTGAGAAGTTGTGAGAAGAAAGAGAATTAACGACCGTCATTCGATACCAAGACGACGCGACAATTAAGGTCATCAGAAGAGAAACTTGTGATCTCAACAGGGAGCGAGTAGCAAAAGTTCTTGTTCGATAGCTGTTTGCATTCAATAAGCAATCACATCTATGAGGTGTAGATGAAGACAAAGGAACGGAAACATGTCTGTCCAGACAGGCAAAGATGAAGGAGTGCGACAAGTAGGAGGAAGGGAGAGAATAAAAGACAAGGAAGGAAGAGGAGAGAAGGCAAGCGATGGCGACGTTCACAAAAAAAGGGAGGAGGACGTCAAAGGGGTGAGATAGAAGGAAGAACAAAGAGATTGACCTGCTCAGTAACATTGACTCGATGCCCGAATTGAATGCTCGAGACTGAGAGCTGCAACAAGATTCCATAAGCAACTAGATTTCATAAGCAAGGAGGAGGGAGGAAGAGGAGGAGGAGGAGGAGGAGGAGAAGGAGGAGGAGGAGGACGAGGAGGAAGAAGAGGAGGGGAAGGAGGACGAGGAGGAGGACGAGGAGGAGGGGGGGGGGAAAGGAGGAGGAGGGGGAGGAGGATGGGAGGGGGAGGAGGCTCAGAGGGGAGCAGATGTCATATGAAGGGAGATGGGTGAGGAGAAGTTTTGAAGAGGTTTGAGAGACCTGCACTTGTGGTCTCGTTGCCTCAGCTGCTACGACTCGTCGAATTTTTTTCCTCATCGAGCCAGGCAAGTCACCCGTAGAGATTCCCTGACAGAGAGAGATAGGAAGGAGTGTGGAAGAGGAGAGGGGAGGAGGGGAGACGAACGAAGGAAGAGAGCACAAGGAGGCAAGAGAAATATTGAGAAAGAAGGTTGAGGGAAGGAAAGAGGAGAGTCAGGATAAGGTCCGACATACACATCGATCTAGTCAACCTTGATGCTGAGAGGAAGTTCAAACGCGTATGAGCTGACTGAGGACGGTGAGAAGACAAGTTCCAAAGCTGATGTGAAGTTTGGTCGCATCGCAAACTCCAACACCTGAATAACCTTGTCAACGTCTTGTTGCAAAGTGTTCTGTTCCCTACTTTCGGTTCTTGGAATTGTGTTTTGGTCGTGGAAGTCTGAAATTGCGAGTGAGATGCAAAGAAAACATCTTGACTACCATCTCGGATTCTTCCACGTTTCTCAATCCTTCGCCAAGATTCATGGTAAAGTCTGGGAACTGCAGCAAGAGAATCAGAGCGGTCAGAGATGACATTGGCGAAGCGCATCCAGTGCAGCGTTTGAAACGAACACGTGCACTATCTGACACATATCAGACAAATTTGTGCAAAAGATGACATAAGATCGACAAGGTATATGATGCACGAAGACAAATCGAAAGATTCAAGAGAGGTGCCAGGTATGTGAGGAATTTTGAAACCTTGCGCAGGTCCATCTGCATGACAGCTTCCAAGTTTGCGCTGCGATGAGCATCAGAGAGCATCGACGGACAGGTTAAACGATCGATGATGACAAATGTCAGCATCTGACAATCAAGTCCGGAGGACATGAAAACAAGAAAGATGAAGAGAATGGGCCAAGGGTATATGAGTTGGAGGAAGGTACAGGGATAGAGAGGTGAGGAGGTCAAGAGGAGAAGGGAGGAGGAGGGAAAGAGAGAGGCAGGACATGAGCTTCAAAGTGAGTTTCCACCTCTTGTTCTTTATCTGCAGAGCTCGACGGGCGACCGACCCCACATAAACTTCGCCGAAGTCAACCTGAGATGACGTCATCACCCCCTATGACTCCTTCCAGCTCGCGCCTCCTCGGTGATGATGTCAATGTCGGGCAGCTGGACTTCAGCTCGCAGGCCCAGCTTGATCGCCGGTCCTCCTCTCACGACGACTCGGACTGAGACCTTGCTCGGGTCGATCTTCTGCGAACCTTCGGCCCGGAGGGAGAAGACGACCTGCCGCAAGACATGTGAGGGAGGAGGGAGGAGGGAGGAGGGAGGAGGGAGGAGGGAGGAGGGAAGGAGGGAGAGGATCGAAAGGTGAGGAGATGGAGAAATCAAAGAGGAGAAGGAGAGAGTGGTAAAGTGAAATGAGGAAATTCACTTGTTGCGTTTCTTTGGGCGAGATTAAAGCCCTTGAAGGCTCAGCGGTGATTTCAAACCCCTAAGAGAGCGGATGTAAACAAACAAAAAAAAGAAACACAATGCTTGCAAGAAGAAGAAGACCAAAACAACAATGCTTGCAAGAAAACGAAGACCAAAACAACAACGCTTGCCTTCATTGTTTCCGACTTAATGTCAACGTAGAAGGCTGCTGTCGAGTTGCCCACATTGCTCAGCGCGACTGATTGTGAGTTTGTAAGGCCCTGAAAAAAGAACATCACAAATCTTAACATATCTTTCTCATCATCACCGCAAGAATCGCTCCATAGTCGATCATGTTGACATTCGCCTTCACCTTTCCTGGGTCGACCTGAAAATTTGTGTCAAAGTCGCGACCTCTGCTCGCTTGCTCCACGACCTCCCCGGTGCACTTGAGCTGGATGTCTTCTCCTCCCACCAGCTTTGCGATCAATATCTCTTCGCATCGAGTTTGTTCTCCAGGGATGAACTGAACCTGTTCAAATCGTATCAATATCCAGCTCCTCCTCGCTTAATCTCCTTCGCTCCTTCTCCCGCTTCATTCTTCATCTAGCCACTCTGTCTAGTCCCTTCTTGCCGCTTCAAAATCTTCCCTCTCATTCTTCTCTGTCAATCAACGAGAAAGAAATCTCACTGTGATATCCTGCGATCCTCCTCCTTCGATGATTCCTTCGGGTGCAGGGATGTAGAAAGCTCCTGTCCCCTTCTGCCACTTGTACTCGACCGAGTTGCTATTTACAAAGTCATGTGTCATAGAGACGTCAACAAAACAACAAGAAGTTTATATAGAGATGTCAAAACGTCAACAAACATCATCGGACTACATATGTCATCAAGCAAGTGAAGGTTTCAGGGGTGTAGGTTTGAGTGTAGGGTTTTACCTCCCGTAGTTAGTGAGTTGGATGACATCGGAGATGAAGTGTTCAAGACTCTTTGAGTCAATCCTGAAATGTTTATTTTCTGGGAAGACCTGGGAACTGGTCAAGATCGTCGCTCCCCCTTGTTGTACTGTCACCTTGATGTTGACAGGCACTGGTCTTGCTTTGACTTCGCAGGTGAAGGTGTGCTGGTCGTTGATCACATACTCCAAAGTTGTAGAGATCTTCACAAGCGCGAGGTCAGCAACCTTTGACGACATCTCCTTGCAACCTCTGAAAGAGATTCTGACATGAGCCGAACGTCAAACCCCGCAGTACATCCTGACTTGATGATCTGAAGTGACAGACGTGAGCTGACGATGGTTATCGGGGTAACAGGAAAAGGATTAGAGGAGGAGTGGAGGAGAGGGTCTGAGCTCAAGTTCAAGACCTGTTTCTCCGGAAAGATTGTAATAGACCAGCCCTTGTCATTCCCTTTGTGATGAAGCGACACGGCAATCGATTGATTGTTGTCGTTGCTGACCGCAAACGATTTGGCGACCTGATCCATGGATAAATACATCTCCTGCTACTACTGCTACTGCTACTGCTACTGCCACTGCCACTGCCACTGCCACTGCCACTGCCACTGCCACTGCCACTGCCACTGCCACTGCCACTGCTACTGCCACTGCTACTGCTACTGCCACTGCTACTGCCACTGCCACTGCCACTGCCACTGCCACTGCTACTGCTACTGCTACTGCTACTGCTACTGCTACTGCTACTGCTACTGCTACTGCTACTGCTACTGCTACTGCTCCTCCTCTTCGTTATCATCATCTTTTTCATTCTTCACCTTCATATACTCCACCAACACCATCCACGAGTTTTACCTCAAGATTCAAACTGATATCTCCAAACTGAATAATCTCCGGATAGACAGTAATCTTTTGCATGACATATCAGTTGCATCAAACGCCCTTGTTATCTCTTACTAGTTTCATTTGCTTCGCATTCAGCGCGACTTGGCAGTATGCCGCTTCCTGCATTATAGAATGACAAGAGCAAGGATGAACAAAAGATTCTCTTACTTGCTCACTGGACGGGGAGCTGCTGAACTTTGTACCAAGCAGCTTGTTCTCGTCGATCTGTGTCACGAGTCAGTTTTCTCTATTTCTGCCTGTCGCCCCTCATCTCGCCCTCTTCCTTTTCCCTTGCCTTCCTCACCTGCCGGATTCTTGGTCTCAGCATTTTCTCCGGGGGCAGGAGGTAAAGGGGATCGTCACAGGGAGGAAGCGACAGCTGGTGGAGGCATTCAGAAGGATGAACCAGCACGAGAGGAGAAGACAGGAAGGGGACGGACGCCGGTCGTGTTGCGCATGCCCATGTCGAGAGAAAATCCTCGATAGTCTTCGTCGCCTTCGCGACCAAGTGAGAAGTAGCAGAACGAAGTATTGAGGGAAGAGTTGAAAGTAAGCAGGAGGAAAGGGGGGACGAGGAGAAAGAGGAGGAGGAGAACGAGAAGGAGGAGAAGCAGCAGCAACCGATATTCTCTGGTCCAAGATTGAAATCCGGACCGCTTTCCCACAACACCTGCAGTATTTCTTCATCCTCGTTCTGCATGCGATTGTGTTGAGTCACCTGCTGCTGGAAGTGTATGGTGTACTGCTGCTTGAGATAGTCCGCGTACATGAGACGATGCTCCGCCTGCAATAGAGAGAAAGGAAGAGGAAGATAGTGAGGACAAGCAAGAAACAGATGGCATATAGAAATCGAATGAACAACCAAGCAGATGGAGTTGGTCAAAAACGAGCAGACATAGCGAAAGGAGATCATGCTGGAGGAGAAGTACGAGAAGAACAACTCTTATGATACCTTCTTCCTGAGTTCCTCTGACGTGCACATCTCACGATTATTTCCATCAGGAACAGGAGGCGGATGCTTCATCCACACTGGTATCTGTGAGAGGAGCGACATGAGCGAAATATCAGTACTGGTCCTGAGGAGTGCAGATACGGAGAAGATGCGAACGAGGATGAGGACGAAGACAACAAAACAATATATGCAAGAGGACGAGGACTACAAAAATATGAATGCAAGAGGACGAGGACTACAAAAATATGCATGCAGGAGGAGGATTGTGAGGGTGGGGGGGAATGGAGCACATCTGCATGTACTGACATCAGGAAGAGGGCCTCGAAGAGTTTTCCACTTCTTGTCGGCCACAGTCACGACGTCTTCCTCCTTCTCCTTGAAGCGAAACTTGGGCTGCTCGAGCATCAGGCTAGTAGCGAGAGCAACAGGCTGGAAGGATGACGGGGACGGAAAAAGAGAGAGGATGAGGATGAGGAGGATCAGAGATGCAATACCTTGAAAGCTTCGAGAGCTGCCTCGGGCCCTCCCACCATCTCTCTCTTCGACCCGATTCTGAGCAAACTATGAGATGCAGCAAGAGGATGAACGAGGATGAGAACGAGGAGAAAAAGAAGGAGCAGGAGCAGGAGCAGGAGCAGGAGCAGGAGCAGGAGCAGGAGCAGGAGCAGGAGCAGGAGCAGGAGCAGGAGCAGGAGCAGGAGCAGGAGCAGGAGCAGGAGCAGGAGCAGGAGCAGGATGATGAGAAACAGGAAGGGAGGAGAGAGAGGCTTCAGGAACGAAAAAGGTCTTTCCTCACCGATTGCAGTTCCCAAAGACAGGCAAGGGAATCTGAAAGAATTTGCATCAGAGCTAAAGTGAAAGGAAACGAGGAAGTGGACCAAGACGAGGACGATTGAGACAAAAAGAACTAGGGAAAGGACAGGAAGAAGAAGACAGGCGGACGAAGGAGGAAGGAGAAATACCACGAAGACGCCTCCATTCACAAAAAAGTTAATGACAGCAGAGTGTTTGCCCAGCATGTTGGGCTTGAAAGAGATGACGAGTTCGAGCGACTAATCACAACGTTATCCTGCTTCTCCGTCCTCCTCTTCCCTCCTCCTGCTCTATCTCCTCCTTCTCACCTGCAGCGGAAGAAGTCGTCCGGAAGCCGGGATCACCCTGAACTGCGCGACCCTTTGTGCTGAGCATTGGTGAATGTCAGCGACAAGGTTGAGATAGAATTGATCCAACCGATGTAGTTCAACGCCAAGTTTTCATGCTGGTTGGTGAGAGTGACCGCAACGTCTGTGTGCGATGAGCTCTCGCAATCACCTTGTGGCGTCAGCAAGTCGTTAGAGAACATGAGGGAGATAGCAATCACATAATGCTAACAAGGGAAGACAAGCGGAAAGATGGTTATGAAACTGATGATGATTAGGTAGAAGATCATGAGTTGTTTCGTACCAAAACGAATCTCTCCGAGAGAAAGACGTGCTCGCACATTGCTTGCTCTTCCCTGCACCGGAACACAATCAAACGCTCTGCTAGCTTATCTTTGCTCTTGACCTTTAAAGTAAAATTGACTGACTGATCAGACGTTGTTGACGCACAAGTCGCCTCTATAATGTGTTCCTCCAAAACTTCTCCTGCCTGTATCAAGAACAAGTGAAATATGTCAGAAAATGGAACGCGGTGGTAGGTGAAATCATGACAAACAATTGAAAGCATGTGCAGACAACATCAAGGGTACCTGTTGATTTTTGAATCCCTTCTTGGGGATTTTCATGGACGGATGATAGACGAACATCAACTCAACTGATAGAAATTCTTTCAGATCTCACAGAACTCATTATTAGACACAACTCACTTTGTTCGAAGGGTTGAAGTACTCCACTAGAAGGCTCAACTCTGCATATTTCTTCAACTATTTCTCCCTCTCGCTCCTTCCTCTCGCTACTCTTCATTCTCCTGGTCGCTCTTTCACTTACCGGAAAGGTTGCTCTGTGCGGTCCAACACACGGCTGTAAGCATAATGTCAAGGAGGAGGAGACGAGAAGGAGGGGACGAGACGAAATTTCATCGTCCTTACCTGCTATTGGCTCCTTCATCCTCATGCTCATCTCGAGTCAATCTGCACATGACATGTTAATTTCTCATTAGGGTTCTGACTTTTGTCTTATCATTGCCTAGTCATTTCGATCTTGAAGTCTGATGCGTCCGGGCTATCGTTGACGAGAACAGCAGACATTGTTACCTGGCGTTCTCTCAAGGTGATGACCAAAATCTTATGAATAACAAGAGAATCATGCACTATGACAGTAACTATTGCAGCATCAATGATTTGAACTGCAGCAAAGCAATCCCTTCACCCTCACATTTTCAGGACAAAATTCACATCTTCAGAGACAAACTTCAGAATCCCTGGCTTAATCGCACCTTCTCTTCGAAATAAATACTGCCGAATGAAAGGCTGTCCAGCAGTCCCTGTGCACACTTCTTCTCATCACATCCTTCCATTGTCCATCGTCACCTTCCCGTTCGTTGACGCCAGCTCGAACGCGCTCCGCCGAACGTTGGCTGCGAGGTGAAACAATGAGGGGCAGCAGCGGAGTAGTAGGAAGAAAGCAGAATGAGGAAAGACAAGTGATAGTGTCAAAGAAGAGGAAAGGGAGTTGAAAGCAACAAGTGCAAATGCATGCTTTCTTACCCAACACATCGATTACTGAAGAAATTTCCTCCCCATTGACCTGCGATCAACAAAACCATGTTAGGTTACAAGCATGTGATCTGCGAAGAAGACGCTGGTAAGCATACCTTCACTTTATGAATGCTGCGAAACATGCCAGGTTCAGTCGCGGTGAGAACAACCTTCAAGGTCTTGCAGCCACGTCACTCACTCAACTTCATTTCTTATGGAAAAAGTACAAGGCAAGCGTCCGGCGAGTCTCTCGCTCCCAGCTTCCCCTTCAGCGGTTCAATCACGATGCTCTGCATGAAGAATAAGATCAGCCATGTACTCGTCCTCTGCTACCCTTCCGCTTTGGTACTCCACAAGTTCGAAATCTGCAGGCTGCCAGAGATCAAGTCAGAAGTCATGAAACCACATCACATCAGCAACGCAAGACAAATCACATCATAAAAGGTCAAGATGAATCTGTCATGAACAAACTTTCAGAAAACATACTTTCTGTCCTTCGTTGACAATCTCGATGTACCGAATTTCAGTTTTACCAACAGCGACCTGATGTGCCGTGAGAAGATTTCAAGCAACATGACCAAATCACTTGTCCAAAGTTGCAGTTTCCATCAAACAAGAGATTAGCTTGGCAGGGATGGGCGTAAAGGGGAATTGTGATCTGTTGTTCACAACGACCAAGAGTGAGAATCTGTAGTTTGAGCGAGAAATCAACCAAGACCTTGTCTGACTCACACATCACGACAATCTCATCCTTCAATTTTCCATCCAGGCTGCATACGAGAATGTCTGATGTGAGATGATTCCAATTGCTTCCATTTCAATGCACCTTGCTGTATAAAACTCCACGTCGACCTTGACATCGAGCCCTGGTGCAACCGGCGGCAGAACCTCATGATGCAAGATGAACTCTTTCAACTTTGGTTTCACAAATCGAATCCTCCTTTTGCAAGTGAAAGTCAGATATTCACTTGGTTTTTCACCTGTACAAATTACCGCGCGTGCTCCGTAATGTTTTGAATCGAGAAGGTTGCAATGAGCGTCTGAGGTGGAAGTAGCGTTAGCAATGAAACAGGAGACATCACCAGATAACCTGTCCAGCTTCAACGTCTTGAAAATCGATTCTTGATGGAAAGACTTGCACAACGTCAGCACGGAAACAGTCTGAACGCGCGAGCACCTCTCACAAACTTCCCAGTGATGCCGACAGGCCGTGGCATCCACTCAATCGAAGCTTGGAGGGAAGATCTGCGAGCATAAGACGGTGAGGGTTCTGATTGCTGTCGCATAGAACACGCAGGCACCTCATCCTCCTACTCGATCGCGGACGTACGAGCGTCTGCGCTTCTGCCTCCCCGCCTCCCGATTTCGCCGCCATTCGTTGACCCGGTCAAGCGTTGAAGCTAGACAGGGGCATTTCTTTGAAACAATGACACGGAGAATCACAATTTTAGCTGTCTTTTGCTTTTGCATAATATACTCTTCGAGGCAAACTTGTTGTCTCCCTGTACCAACACAAAAAAATTTGTTACCACAAAATAAGCTTATGTGCGGATTGTACTGTAATTTTCAGCTTATTTATTCTTGTAGTACTGTACATGCGTAAATCCAATCACCCACCCCCTCCTTGTACAGACTGCGCCACCCCTAGTAGGACATTTGTAGGGTCCTTCCCGCTTGAACTTGAAAATTCGAATGGAAGAACGAGAAGAGACGTCATGGAAGGAGAGTAGAGAGTAGTGAAGCTGAAGCAGCTGAAGGACAAGTATCAGTGCATGGAATAGAATAAATGGAAGAGTCTGGAAAAGTGAGATGAAACGATAGATGAAAGCCATAATGACATAACTTGATAGTGAAAACCGAAATCAGTAGATGCCAGAGTGTAGAGGGGCCGGGGTCGATGTGATGGAGGAGACCATTATGTGGTCGAATCATGCTCGACAATTGAAATGATGATTGATCTAAATTATTTTCAATCATGTCAAATCAGATTTGGGTTGTTCGTATTTGCGAGCCTATACTAAAGCATTCTTATATACAGGATATCTCGATGAATCCTTCACCATATTCTCGAAATGTTGAACAATTCGTATCGAAGATTCGGGGAAAACAGAAAAAGGAAAGAACATCAGATACAAGTGATAAATCTCGGAAGACTCGACAACCAGGCCATCAGGTAACTCTATTCATTGTGATGGTTAGTGAAGTGTGAAGCAACTTTCAAGGCCGAGGTTACATTGGTTGAAAATGTCGCTCCTGCAGATACCATAACAAGAATGCATGATGGGCCGTCTTTAGATTTGACAAATTTCAGGAACAGTCATGCCAAATCATATCGGGAACTTTCCTGGAATAAGATTCGGAGCGAAAGGCTGTATCTTGAAAGGAAACAGCTGGTATGAGGTGTGTTGCATCAATCTCTGATCTCATCAAACCCTTGTCAGCTTTGTGGTTGCTGTGGGTTTTGCATTTCCGTCGCTTCAACTGAGGAGGAATTGCCCAAGTTGCAATATCGCTTTGAGAGCCGATGCCCGATGATGTTCGTACAGGTTCTGCTTTAGCTTCACCTTCACCTGATAATCTTTGATCATCATCGTAGGATAGTCGATTTATCTCAAGAAGCGAAGCCTTCAACTACCTACAAGCTCAAGGATGGAAGGCAGCCCAGATCGCAGAATTTCTCAACGAATTGGAAGTGAATGATGTCGTTGGCGTTTCTCGAGAAGACCTTATCCGAGCATATGATCCCACCTTGAGAGAGTAAGTTTCTTCAATCTTGATGCTATCATGAATCACGTCCCTCTAGTCCAGATTTGCCAACAATCAAGAAATCAATATCCAACTTTCGTCATCAAAAGTATGTCGCTGTTAAGGTATCGTTGTCTCGCGCAGAGGCTAGGAAGGATGAAATCTTTCAATCAGTTTTACGGTACTCTGGCATATTCCGATAATATGTCGTCTCCAATAAGTTGGTATGAACAAGCTTGTGCTCATCTTGGACTGAAGGGCAAGGTTCGAATAAATCAGACAGGATTTATCTTACTGGTACCGTGTTGCTATGTAATTTGCATGAGAGTCTCAAATCTTAGTTGCAGGTAGGGTTGACCTTGCATGATTCACCTGGCCAGGCTCAGAGGTCAAACTTCTCCAGCTCAGACTCCAGCAGAGGCAGAGCAGCTCACCACCGGCGCGTAGATGAATTGATGGATAGGAGCATGGGTGATGACGGTGTCTGCATCATTACCCTGCATGAATCGAAAGCTGAATTATTGAATTTGCACCAAGCCGACGTTGATGAGATTCTAAGCAAGGGAGAGAATATGGAACTAGTGAATTCTTCTTCGTCTCTGATAGAGAGAAAACGATCTCCGGACAGATCTCCACAAAATCAGAGAATGAAGGTAATTACAGATGAAAGGAGATCAGCATTTTTGTCAAGTGCTGAACCAGCAACTCGACCAAAAGTGGATGTTTCAGTGCATTACTCAGAAGATATCAATTATCATTCACAACAAGTGGCAACGAACCCTAAGATTGAAACTCCCCCTAAAAAAACCGAAAGTCAACTCCCTGGAATGATAAGTCCCCCAGGAACAGTTGCAACAGCTTTGTATCAATATGAAGCCCAGGAGGATGATGAGTTGAGCATCTTTACCGGGGAGATTTTGCATGTGATATCAAAGCATGACGATGGCTGGCTACTTGTCCAGAATCAAAGTGGCTCTCTTGGTGTAATACCAGGAAATTATGTCAAGTTAGGACTCAAGAATGAAAAGAAAATTACCAACGAAACGGACGTAAGCAAATTGTCGAATGTTTACCGGAAACTGACTTAGGCCCTTCAGGAAATGAGTACTTTTGTACATTCCAAGGCTGTTCTTCCTCGTGCCGATACGTCTATTGCAACTCTTCTTGCTGAGACTGAAAAGTGCTCCAAAGAACTTGAGTCACACTTGAATTCGCTCTCGAAAGCTGTATCAAAGCAATGGATCTCCACCAAAACGTTCTTGCCACATTTTCGGTCGTGCAGAAGGAACATTACTGACACGAAGACTTCTATTGCAGAGATCCGCAAAATAATTGAAGAGAAGTCGAAAAGTACAGCACCGCAGAAGTTCAACAATCATTCAGGAATCTCTCTTTTCGAAGATTCTTCGGATTCATCATCCGATTCAGCGGAGCTTTGGCGGCCGCGATCCAGGTTTATTGCAGTCAGCAATGTTGTTGATTGATACTTTCATCCAGGGTCTTAGACCGAACTTCAAGATCTGTTCTGCGAGCATCAAAGATGATCGTGAATTCTTCAATCGATCGAAGTGGAGATTTATCTGAAGACTCAAACGATGATTTGTTGCCCGATCAAAACACGCTGATGCTGTCTCAGATCCCAAAATTAGATCTGGATCGAATTGAGAGACCGTCTCCTGCTTTTCGTAATTCGTCGACTGCTCAGAATGAGAGCTGGAGAGTTTATGTCCAACTTATTGACGCAGAAAATGTTTCGAGAAAAGATAACTTCTTTTCTGGATTGTTTTGTTGTGCTTCCCTGATGCTCTCGAACGATGGCCCGGAACTGGATCTTCCAATCCAGCACAATGTTGGAGACATCACTGTGAACAGGTCCTTGTTCCAATTTGAGCTGGAATCTCAACAACGGAGCAAACCTATTTTTCGCAGCGCATCTCCAGTGTGGAATCAAGGATTCGTCTTTGCAGACACATACCCTAGCTTCAAGGTTATGCAAGCAACAGCCAGAGCAAATCGAGTCATCAAAGATAATCTTCGAATTCCTATCGACGGCAGTGACCTCATCCTGTTTCTCACCTTGCACGACGTGGGCTCAGACAAGGCAGAAAGATACATCGGCAAGGCGATGACATCTATCCGGGTGGGGCAGCCTCAAGAGCTCAGCTTGAGAGTCAAGAGTCCATACGGAGAACCTCAGACAAACGACCACAACGCCCAGCCATCCATCCGAGTCAGAATAGCCTATGGTTCTTCCCTCCATAGCAAGCTTGGCCAGTCGGAAGCCCAACGAAACTTTGTAGCATGAATAGAAGTAAACTGTGCTTGATCGGACCTTGACTCTTGGCCGTCACATGATGCATGTCAGGCCGAGACTTGTCAGTGTGCCTCAAAACGTTTTTCACTGTAATGATTCTTGATGGTTTTTGGTCCTCGCAGATTTCGTCCCTGAGGCGGGTCAGCTTCTTGGCGACGGCTTGAAGAAAAATGGCGGCAGCTGAGGTAAGGAAAAAGAGCGTTCACAATGAGGAGGGAGGAAGCAAGGAGTGATCGAGATGTTGATCGAATGCAGCCAGCAAGTTGCACGCTCTCCGTCACTTGTAACCATACCTTTCAGGCTAGAGCAGGAAAAATGAAGCTGGCAAGTGGGATGCTACAGCCTGACGTGCGCAAGGGCTTGATCAGGTACAATTACACGGTGAACATCCTCGACCATTCGTAACTTGAGAAAAAGATTGTTTACCTCACCAGAAGATCAGCTCCTCCACTTCACCTGGACTTCAAGGTCTAATGGAGTCGGCAAGCGCTTTTGTTGGTCCCTGTGCTTGTAGTAAGATCGAAACAGTTGAGGATGATCGCATCTTGTTTCCTGGGGATGCTACATTCTCGTATGTAGAACAAGCTCGTAACAATCCAAAGAACAACAGGGTACATGTTTCCAATCGAGCTCGCTCTTCAAATATATCTGATGGGCTCGTTCGCGCATGGCCAGGTGTACGTCCTCAAGTTCGTCGATTCAAACGAGAAGATGTTCTTTTGGATGCAGGAGCCAAATCCTGACAAGGTGTGACAAACTTGGGGTCGAGGTTATCCTGAATCTGAAAGTAGGACGGCGACTTTGTGAGACGAGTGAATGCGAAGCTGAATCCGGATGGAGCCTCGCAAGAGGCATCTGTTGACTTGGGTCAAATGGACCAGCAGCAGCTTCTTTCTTTGCTCTCTGGAGAATCCCCAGCTCCCAATTTGAGCAACCCAGCAGCCGTAGAACCGCCGTCAGCAGATGTCGAAATGTCGGAGAATGTGAGTAGCTACTTGCATCGTTTCTCTCTCCGTTCTTCAAATGTTTGGCCTCGGAGTCGGTTGCCTCTTTCTTGAGGGATGCATCGTATTTGCGTGGGCGGTTGTATAACTCTTGCATTCTGAAGGACAATCATAATTCTGCTGAAGCTCCAAATGTTCCCGACCATGCTTCAAACATCAACGCCCAACAGGTCATTTCAAATTCTACCTGCATTGCGTGATGTTAGGTTTAGAGTGGTGGGATCAGCTCGGCGAATCTCTCGCAGATTTTGTCAAGTCTTGGAAGTGGACAGCCTGCATCGGGACAGAATCTGAACCTCTCCAGCCTTGCAGCTGCTCAGGTGAGTCAACTTAGAGTGCTCACCGCCTGATTCGTTGAAGGCTGCAAATATGTACGCTGGTCCCAACTTGGAGGATGTTTTGGAGCCGAGATCTGTTATTCAGGCCTTAGAGGACTGCCCCGATCTCAAGGCAGCGAGAGTCTTGTAATGAGGAAGAGCGCTAAGTTGAGGTGCAGGCAGCACTTCTCCAAGATCTACCTGAAGCTGATCAGTCTACTCAAGGATTGCGAGAGGTTAAAATCAAGATTCGCTTCACAAACATAATCACTCGATTTGTACCACAGGTTCTGAGCAGCCCTCAGTTGGCGCAGGTGTCGACTCACAGTTTTGATGATGGAACAGTGGACGTCTCACAACGAATGACAGGCAATCGGCTTAATGGATCACGTGATTCAGAGCGGCCAAGGAAATAATCTCATCGCATCTTTTGGGTACAAACCGGTAGGACAAGTTGAAGTGGAAGAATTCTAGTGGTTGTGACTCAGCGTTACATAGGCTGAGGGCTTTGCGACAATGGGCCCTGCAGCTGTGAGAGTGTTTCTATAACGTTAATCATTTACGTATGTTGTAGGTGAAATCTTTGCTGGAACAGATTCTTGCCAAGTCGAAGGAGAAACAAACTTAGATTTCGGAGTCATAGCAGCAAACTTAAGGTTGAAGCATTCCAATCTTGTCAAAGCTGAGACAAGTTCGACTTCTTGCTAGCCGATAAAGGGCTATATTCGTGCACCGACTCGCACAATGTCCCTCTGTCAAATACACAAAAATATTCAGATCTGAAGTATTACAATCACTTTACGGTCGTGTACAGCACAAGAATGTCTACCAATCATATATTCCAGCTCCAAATCGACCTTGCTTCCTCCCCGCTGCTTGAGCGTTGACGTGAACATCTGTTTTCAACCCCGAATGAGGACTACCTCCGTTTTGCCTTGACCACCCTGTCTGACCTTTCCAAGCAAATTTCGCCAGATCATTCTTGATTGAGCTGGTACCAGGAGGTTTCCCATGCTGACTGATGTCAGACTCTTCCTGCATTTCTGCTCGTTGGCGATGTGATGCCGAGCGCTTCCTTGCCTCCCTGTCAGCTTTGGCTTGCAAGGCCTTCCAATTCTCTCTGTTCACGACTTGATCGTCATTTTCATCGTTCTTGCCACGAAGCCTCGACCTTCCATGTCTATTTCGCCTCGGGTGATAGGCAGAGGAGCCTCTAAGTGCCTGCTGTTGTTTCTTTGCAGACGATGATGCTGATATGATCGCACCAGTCAGGAAAGCTGCACCAACTACTAGAAGCAGAAGGAGTAAGAATGGCAGCAAAAACTTCCTTCCATATCTCGCCCCAAATCCAGGAATATCAGGCACTTCTACGACCTCGTCAGAGGCTTGAAGTTTGCTCATTTGCCTCGTTATATCTGCTTTCCCATTGGCCATGCCGTAAGCCTTCTCCAAAGACGTATCTGCCTTGGGATCTTCAATTTTGGGCATTCCGAGCAATTGGCGGACATCGTCTTCAAACAAGCATTTCTTCCCTGCCCTCGACATGGTTCAAGCTTTAAAATAATTGGTTGGATCTCAAACCAAATCCGACCTGACACCAAGAACAAGTTTTTCCACAGGGATTATATCAAAAAACGCAAACGATGCACGCAGCTGTTGCTAATGATCTGGTTCCACCTCAATACGTATGCTGTTTAGATTTGGGTTGATTGCTGGATTTCAGTGCTCCCTCTCTCCTCCTCTCATTTCTTCTTTTCCCTCCATTGCAAATGCCACCTCACCGGACTTTTCCGTTACAACAAGCCTCAAGCCGTTACGTCACTGAGTTGCCGAACTTTCATGGTCACACCGGGCGCCGGCCCGCTGTGCCCCGAGTCTGCCTCAGAGCTTTACACAACGCCACGGTCTCCGCCTCAGATTTGTCGGCGCCTCCTCTACTACAATCCCACCACCACGTATTCCTCCTCCTCCTCCTCCTCCTCCTCCTCCTATCCTCTTTGTTCACTACCACCACCACATAATCCTCCTGGACTACTACCAGCACCACATACTCCTCCCCTCCTCCTCCTCCTCCTCCTCCACCACCACCACCACCACCACATCCCCACCATCACATACTTCTTGTTCACCTCCTCCTCCTCCATCACCCCACCACCACCACCACCACCTCCTCCTCCTACTCCTCCTTTATCACTTCCATTTCGGCCATCACGCACCCTTCCTCCGTCTACTTAGTTCAGTATCTTCATGCCCGTTTGCTCACGCATTCCAACACACTTACAAACAAGACAGTTGTTTCCCAGTTCAGCTAGACTGTTGGATTGATCTTCTCTACGATGCAACACCTCTTCAATTATAGTTTGTTCTCATTTTCACACTTTCTGCAGATGCACTTGAAGATCAGAAAGAATTTTTAGACTTGTTGTTGTAGAAGGATGGCCGATCCTTTGGCCGACATGCAAAGTCGGCAAGAAGAGGACACAGATGTCACCGATAACAAGCAGCAAGTGACAGAGTCCATTGAACGGTCACTAAGGGCTATCAGCATGGCGACAGCACGAAAGAATCAGGGCTCGGAGAATGAGACACAACATCAAGATGAGATCAGAGAAGGAGAGGGTCTTCAAAAGAAGTCGAAGGAAAAGAAACGTCCTGCTGCCCTCCAGATAGAGAAGATAAGCTCTTCAACGCCAGAGAAGCATAACGACAAGGATGCGTCAAAGAGCGCACTGATGGAAGAAAGTTCGTCGTTGACAGGGGATTGGAGTAGGCGAGAGCAGCAAAGTTTTCAGCCCTCATCCTTCAATCAGGACGTCATGTCAAGATCGAATATGCTGCGTCGGCGAGTTCGTCGAAGTCCAGAAGTGTTTTCACCAGTTGTAGAAACTGCAAATGATGGAATCATCTCTCCAGTCCCACGGGAAGTTCAATCTCAATCTGAAAAGGTTCCTCGACTTGAAAGTAATTACGACATCGATCCTGATGCAGACGATGATTATCAAGACGAAGGCTCTCATTATCATCAAGATGAATTTCATAATAGTGCCATGCCGCAGGGATTCTCGAGAAGTGCCTACAATCCTAGAGATCAGGCTCATGTTGCATACGGGGGTGATTCTGGATGGTCAAGAAATGCTCAGGTAGGTAGGACTTCGTCATATTCTCAACTGACTCCCAAGGGATTTGATTCGAAACAAGGTTATGGCATGGGTTCAGGGAATGACATTATTCGTACCCTCTCGGCCCCCATCTACTCTGGTGAGAACCTGTCTCCGCAAACTCTCAGCACACATGCGATGAAGTTTTCCCAATCGCTGCCTCGAGAACAATACTATGGCTATCAGGAACAGGACCGTATACGACAGTTTCAATTGGAGCGGTACGACTCATTTTCTTCGTGCGATTCAGGTCTCTTCAGATCTCATCCTTACATGGGAATGGGTGATCCCATGTCGCCAACGTCTCGGCAATTTCACATGGCCAATGAGACTGACGAATATCATCAGCTCGATATCTTACTTCAAGGTTTGGGCTTTTATTGCGATGAGAGTGAGAAGGACGTTCTTATCAAGGCGTTCATGTGCCCAGTCTGTGATACGTCGAATGCTGTTTACACAACCACCACCGACCAGATCAGGGCTGTTCATGACGCGTTCGGTTTGATCGATGCTGACCAAGATGGTGCGATCACCTTAACCGACCTGCGTGATATTGCTTCGTGGGCATCGGATGATAGCGGAACAGACTTCATCAATCATCTCCTCGATGAGCTCCCTCACGGTGAAGATGTACCCATCACAAAGAAAGAATTCATCCTTGCTTTCGCCAGATGCTTGATTTACAATGATGAGGTTGAGGTGGAGGAAGTGCTAGAAAACGAGCATATGAATACAGAAGGATAGGAAAATTGTTGGGAATGGAGCGGGTCCAGAGTCAGTTTTCTTGGCCAAAATTTTGGCTATCTTTCTTTTCTGATGCTCTCGCATTCATTTCATTTCCATTGTGCAAACTCTCGGATGGGATACGATTGGGAAAGCACCACAGAAATATGTCGCTTTATGATATTCTTTCAGAATCACAGTGGCTGCCAGAGCCATATACTTCCTTTGATTCGTTTCAATATTATTTGATGGTGCTCTGGCTTCCATGTATCTTTTCCCTAGTTATTTTCTTTGTTTTCTACTCTCAAATGGACAAGATTTCGGTCCTGGAAGTTTTGTCGCCAATTGGCGTGTATATTATGAGAGGAATGTATATCGCCACTATCTCTGGCTACGAACATCCTCGACTTGTGTTGCGAAGACTGAATCCTGCCTTGTCATCAGAATTGAAGAGGAATGAGTTACAAGCAGTGTTTGCATTCCGAGCACACACTCCGGAAGGACACGCTGTTGATCATATTGGTGCTATAACGGATGTAATCTTCATGGACAAGTTCAGGTTGTTCAGCGTTGCAGCATCTGCTCTGGCAGGCATCATCCATGGGCTGACTCCAACTTTTCATCGCATCTTCATTCAAACACCTCTGGATGAGTCTCTGGGTATATGCCTCATGCCAGAAGAACTGCCGTTGCTCACTCAGATCTATGTCTGGATTTGTGGAGGGAAGGACTGGGTTCACCTTATCGTGTCGGTTCCTGCAGCAATTATTTCAGGATACTTGACATTTCGCCTTGTCTATTTGGCGATGGCTGGATACCAAAACGATCTGACGTTTTTCTACAAGCTTACACTTTTCCGCTCTTCCACTCAGGCTGAACCTTTCTTGCGATATCGTGCAAGATGGATTCAAGCGATAAACCTTGATAAACACCCAAAGAATTGCCGTCGAGAGTTTTTGCAATTTTTGAATCTGCAAAAGCATGACGATCTTCTTTTGTGGTGCTTCATTCGGCATCTTCTGGTTGAATCATATGCCGGGTTCAAGTCGAAGCAAGGAGATATCATTGTGTCATATCTGTTCGTTTCGGTGCTGGCCTACACCTGCTACATTTGCTTTTATGTTGGGGGGCCAGAGCTTTCTGTCTTTGACCTGCGAGCTCGTTGGGACGTGCTTGTGTTTAGCTCTCTTCTGTTAGCTATTATTAATCTCAAATTGAGCATTCACCATCTTCGTCAGAATGACATCGCACTTCTACAAAAGGAAATGTACGCAGCAAGTATGGCTGAGAACGAAAATGAAGGGCAAGACAGATATTTTGATGATGTATCAGAGCAGCCGGATGTCTACGATGCTAACAATATCCCGGGAGGCGAAGGAGCCCTACGAGGAGACCCTTTTCAGCGCATGCAGAGCATGGGCAGCGAGATGGAATCTGGGTCCTCAACTCCTCGGCTGAGAGGATGGGGGATGACTTCGAGCTGGGCAGAGGGAAGGGACGGGCGTGAAGAAGAAATGCTCAAGGCAGAAAAGCAGGCGCACAACTTGAAAGTGCACCAGACTGGATTCAGACCGCCGCTGGAGGAGCGTGAATACTTCGGTTCCGTTCCAGCTTCCGCTCGACCAGACCTTGAAGACCCGGTAATTTACTTTTATCTTGGTGTGTAGAGATTCTTGACCAGTGTTTGCCAGAGCATGCCGCAGCGCCTCGCTTCTCCTCTGCATCCTCGCCAGTTCCCTGGACCGCAGATGTACCGCAGAGGTAAGCGAGCAGTGTGTTCAACAACCCTTCATTGTCGTGGCAGAGCGAACAGACCCCAACGGTAGAGCGCCAGGAGTCTTCATGGCGTTCGAGCACATGGGAATGGGAGCAGCTGGCGATTACAACATGTTTTCAACGAGGTGGCCGAACGTACCTCCTGTTGATGACGTTGCCAGCAACCTACCGGTAAAGTTATCTCACGCACATGCTGTACTGATGCCGCATAAGGACACGGGGTACAAAAGCAAGCACAAGAAACTTCAGATGCTGTTGGATCACACAGCGAGGTACATCAGAGAATTCGATCGTCCTCCGAGACTGCTGAGGTGAGAACTTGATTTGCCTCCTTGAGCTCGTAACCTTTGGGACAGTTTCACTGTGTCTGTACATTTTCTGCGGTACATCTTCCTCCCCTTGCTCTCTCCTATCTTCGCGCTCTTCCGCTCCTACGTATTTGAAGGATCGAAAAGCAACTAGAAAGAAACAGATTGATGGAAACTGTGGCATGTTCATTAAACGAGACCAACTCTGGATTTCTTTTAATCTTCACAGAAGCCACAATTACACCTGAAACCATACCAGTGCTGCAGATACTCCTGAAAGGTCTTCCCATCATAGGCATCCGGCTCTAAGGAGAAATGAGATGTCTTCCGAGAAAGTGCAATCATGTCACCTGGACGAAGATAGGAAACAAGCACTTCCTCTCCCTCAGCTATCTCACACTTTGCGCATGTCATGATCTACCGCGTTCTCAAAGTGCGTCACACTGATTATGCAGTCACCTGCTTCGACGTCCGCATGTACTTCCAGACAGCTGTTGGCTTGCAAGAATGATTCAGCAGGCAAGTAAGAGGGAACATGCACATGTCGCTATCATCATTGTTCGGCTCCATATCTATACAGTTGGTCCAAAAGATTCCTGCAATGTTCTGATCTGTTCCATAGATGGGAGCCTGAGTGAAATCAAGGAAGCATCTCTTGCTATTCTCATCTAAAGTCTGGAACGCCTGTAACGGCAACTGTCAACTGCAGCGAGATCGATTGACTCTCCTCCTCCCAAAAAGAAAGTTCCCACATCGAAGATCTTCTTCGAAGAAACACTGTCAACAGAATTTGCTTGCTCGATTCCCTCCCACGGCAGCGAAGACACAGTGAAGAATGGTTGTTCTACAAGGATGACATCTCCCGAACTGAACTTCTTCTTTGCAAAGAGCCCCCGACCACCCAGTGCTGAAGGCTTGATCTCGACGTGTGCATTGAAGATTTCACTCATTGAATACAAGAAAACAGAAACCAGGCAAACTCTAGCTTTGAGCAGATGCAATCCTGCGAACATGGAGAAAATCAGTGGAGACATGTCAGGGTTCTTATCCGACTTCAATGCTGGAAAAAAAGAGCATCGCTGCAAGCATTGCCATGCATTATTTTTTGTCATGTTCATCTTTTGTCATCCGTACTCGCCCTCGCCCTCCTCGTCCTCCTCGTCCTCCTCGTCCTCCTCGTCCTCCTCGCCCTCCTCGCCCTCCTCGTCCTCCTCGCCCTCCTCGCCCTCCTCGCCCTCCCGTCTCCATTCCCATCTCCAATGCGACCATGCGTCGATGGTTTAGTTCGATTGAATTTATTAGGTTGTATTAGTTAGAGTTCACAAGGTTACTATGCCTGGCTCCCCTCTAGATGCGTCTCGACATGAGCAAGACAGCACGAGACAGCAAGAGAGGGAGGGAGGGAGCGAGAGAGCGAGAGAGAGAAAGAGATAGAGAGAGGGAGGGAGGGAGGGAGGGAGGGAGGGAGGGAGGGAGAGATGGAGATGGAGAGAGGGAGGGAGGGAGCGAGCGAGCGAGGGAGCGAGGGAGAGGGAGAGGGAGAGGGAGAGAGAGTGAGGAGAGAAGAGAAGAGAAGAGAAGAGATGAGGCTGGGCAGCAGACCTGCGCTGATGGTTAGCTGCTGCTGATAGTTATTGACGAACAAGTGACGGCATTGCAAGCAGATCTTCAAAGTCAATCATATTCTGCACGAAGAAAGGAAACTGGGATCTAGTCTTTTGCTATTTCGTGCCCACCTCCACGATCTCTTGTGAAACTTCATTCTTCTCTTTGTAGAGGATCCGCAAACTTGAATGAGCAACTATGCTGCATTTCTCATTTTACATGCTCTCTACTGTATTGATCGCCTCAGTTCTTCCTTCCATAGCGTGTCAATCTAAGGACATCGCTCAACATCATGTCGCTGAGGCCGTCGGGCTCTCTAAAGCATTACAATCTCCTGCGACATGTTCACGTGTAAGTGTGTATCGATGGGTCCGTCTGAAGTTCTGAATGCTTGTAGCTCTGGGGTGGATACATCCCCAAGAAGAGTCGCAAGAGCAAGAGCAAACGGAAAACCTTGAGATTGAAATACAACATTCAGAAAAAAGTTCGCTCGGTAACTGCAGATTCGAATTTTTTTTTGTGACATTTTTGGCTGACTTGAAGCAATAGCATTTGAGAAAGACAAGAAAGCAACAGCGAAAGGTCGAGAAAGAGAAGATTCGGAAACGCAAACTTGGTTTGTTCTCTTTCATGATTTCATTAGCGTAACGCATTCGAATCAATAGGTTTGATTCCTGATAAGCTTCCAGTGCATTCCAAGGATGACGTGGGATGGATCCTCCGTTCTCATCAGTTACCAGGAACTTCAAACCCTCGATAAGAAAAGTTTCTTGTATCTATATAATTTCTTTCTCAATGAGCACGACACCTTACAACACCGTGAAATATTGAAGCTTCCAGTCAATTTGTAGCTTCCTCTGTGTTCTGAGATCGACAGAAAGGACAGCAGCCGTCTTTCAAGTACCTGCATAAGATTCAATCGACGCTAAGCAACCATCAAGTCATTACAAGATCTCGAAATCTTCTTCAATGAACATCCTTGAACAAGACTGACACACATACACCGGAGTATCTGGCACCATGACTCGAAAGTATCTCGTCGGAATCAGATGATATTGACTCTTCAGAATTATGACCTAAACCAACAATGATCAGCGCTTCTCTGTATGCCTGTGCATCAATTTTCCCTCACATCTTGGTAGTTGAGCTGGGCGAGGATCTCACGACTGCAACTTGGCAATGAACCTGAAGGGGCAGACAGCAGCTGCTGTTGAAACTCGGCTAGTGAGTCATTGCTAAGCACGCAGTCGTTAGCCGTCAATTTCGATCCAATCACAGAAAAATCACCCGAAATTCATGTCGACGTCGTCATCATCAAATGTCAACATATTTCCTGATCCAGTCTGCCTCTCTCTGCCACCGGATCGAGATTTCGAATTCAACCTTATCCCTCCTTGATTGCTCAAAAGACGTTCTGCTTCTTCGTCTGAGATACCTTTGTCCAATCTAAATTCAACAAGTGGGAGGACATCGAAATTTGCAAAGCTGCGAACTCCTGAAAAGACACTTTCTTGGCTCACGAATCCATCTTTGTCAGACACTGGCTTGCTTCTAACCTGAGAACAGTGATGTGAGAATTGTGACTGCAATCAAAATCGTACCTTGAGGGATGCAAGATCCACTTTTCCGCCCCATCCATCTGGTAGATGCAGATTGGAGAGTTGGTCCAAAGCTCTCCTTGCAACCTTAAAGCATTCGAACTTGAGTGCCTGCCAATCACTCAGAAAAGAAATGAAGTATAGTCTAGAGTACAGTTTCAGCGAGTGCCCACAGAATGTACACTTTGGATACTCCTGGTGGATTGAGGCGGTTTTGTAACAAGGATAGCAAGAATCTTGCAGTGTGGAACACAGTCTCAAAGTTCCCACTAAAGAATGGTTCGGTGATGTAATCCGAAATGATCTGGTAGGCATAGAAAATATCTGCTGTCTCTGAAAATTCCAAGAATTGCTGCAATCCTTGTTCTTCCAATGCATGACCACTACCCGGAGGGTAAAGTTGGTTGGTTTCGATTGCTCGCATCCAATAGTAATACCCTGCATTCTTATATGAGTGTGTGGATACTGCCGCTGCCGATAGCGTCTCAAGCATTTCGATGGCCTTCTGCGGACTGCCTGCCATTCTAAATGCCTCCTGAGCTTCTTCAAATCGATCATTTGCCGACAACCAGGTTGCATATGGCAGATAGACTACCTCCTTCATGTATGGGTACTGTTTCAAAAGTAAGAATGCCTCGTCCCACTTCTCTGATTCTACATACAATTCCATCAAGGATTTCGTGTCAGACATTTTGATGTACGTCTCCTTGGCGTATAAAGTGTGCCCAGATGTTCGAAAAGCATCTGCACATTTTGCAAGATTATTCACATCATTTTTGTCCAAGCGACGCACAACATCAATCAATTCATCAACCATGTTGTGTTGAGACATAATATTAATGGCCCTTCCGTACTCTTCAGAAGTAACGAAAATTGCTGCTGCTGTTTTCCAATCGTTGTTTTCCACGGCCCAAAGTGCTTGCTCTCGCGTCAAGTCCTTGATGTCAACACCCTGAGCATGGTTTGCAATATTTCGAGCATCTTCCCACAGCTTCAGATCCGAGAACATTTTTATGGCAAGGTCAACACGGCCACTTTTTGCATAAACCTTACCAGCCTCTTGATATTGCCCACGCAATGCAAGAGCTTCGGCAAGAAAGACATTGTCATCATGCCCTGGTAGCTTACGAGATGCTTTGATGCGGTTGATCAAATCAATGTACCTCATGTCTCTATTCCGAATGAATGCCTTTTGAGCAACTTCAAGATCCATCACCATGAGCGCTTCCATGGCCAAAGCTTGCCAATCTGATTCTGTCACACCCATCGTCGCAACCTTGTATGCCTCGGACATCATCTTTTTTTCCAAGTATCGATACATAGCTGCGCTCTGTGGGACATTCACAGTATTCATCGCAAGATAATGCAGGCAAAAAACTTTGCTGCCTCGCACTCCAACAACAAACCCTCGCATTTTTTCTCGATGTGGAGGAAAATCGCCAGTTTTGATGCTCAGTTGATCCTTGCCGCTGTAACACAGCTGGGACTCCAAGACGCTATTCCATGCAACACTGTTTGCATTGACATCGCGGTACAATTCTTCTTGCGTCTGGACATCATAAACGACAACATTGGCGAGCTCATCAACTAAAGCAAGTTTGCGGCGACTGCACGAAATATCCAGGCACCGTATGGACTTGTCGTGGTTGACAATCGAGATAGGAAAAGGATTGTCTATGAAAATTTGCAAGACCTGTCCATTCTTAAGGCCAACTAGAAGCCCTTCTCTGCGGGGAGGGCCGCCTGCAATCTTGATGTATCGAATTATTGCATCCAAGACCCATTCCCTTTCCTTGACACCCTCGAAATTCAGCAACTGGAGCTTTTTCTCAAGGCAAAGAATCAGATGGTTTGACGTGACGACCAACAAATTACAATCGAGTGATTTGTTAATGGTACTCCGCTTCACATATTGAAGACCATGATCATCGTCACCTTTTCTTTCGTAAACTTGTATTTTATCTGGCAGTTGTATAGCGAGACGATCCTTGTAGATCGCAATTTTCTTGACATGAGCTTGGCATTGTATCTTTGCTTTTTGCTCCGTTACAAGATTTTGAACAATCACATTTGTCATGAAATCACGATATGCATATCTGTCTTGATACAATCCATGCACCGTACTAAAAATTAGTTGATACATCGAAATAGTGCCATCGTTACATGCAACTGCGATGTAATTCTGCTTTGGTCGAGGAGCAATACTCCAAATCCAGTCATCTCTTTCACAGATCATCTGCAGTTGAACTCCATCATGATTGCACAAATGTGTCTTGCAATCAGAACCGCCCACAACCATGTACTCACCGTTTGAGAAATATCGGACAGAGCAAGGGTCCATGTTCAACTCTTTCTTGCCTATCAATGTCGGTTCACAGTCGCAGTCATGTAAGGTCAACATCTGATCCCAAGTCCCCACTGCTAAAATATTCACACCATCTTGCGTGTTGGGTCTAAAATTCACCGACCACACTGGAGCATTTCTTGTGATTTTGAGCTTCTCTTTGCCATCTCTTGTTCGGACAGTAACATTTCCATCATACTGCCCTATTGCCAGGAGCGTCCCATCATTAGACCATGAGCAACAGAGTCCTCTAGCCTGAATCTTGTGCTTCGACACTGATTTTTGATCAGGTGACCAAATCCCAAAATCTGTCGCGGTTACACTGGCGAGCTGTAAGCTTACAGGATTGTAACTCAGCGCCTGTATTGTATCATTGTGAGCAAATTTAAGAATTCCTTCAGCTGTGTTTTTCCATATGATGACGTTCTTATCAGCTCCTCCGGATGCAAACCTCTTTCCGTCCTTCGAGTATGTGACGCAATACACCGTGTCCTTGTGCCCTTTGAGCTTGTGCAACAAGCTGCCATCTGAGGCATCATACACGAGGACTAGCTGTCCTGATGCAACTACAAGCTGAGACCCAAGAGGATTAAAGCAGAGGTCATAAACAACAGCAGGAGGAGCTTGCCCTTCCGAAGTATTCGCTTGCCATGTCAGAGCTGATCTCATAGTGCGAGAGAAACTTTTGTAACAGACTAAGACACTCTATAACGTGTGCGATATCAACTTGTGAACAACTGCCTGCCTGCCATCAGCGATATTCCACGGTTCCTTTCTCATTTCCCTGGAATATCCACCATCGTTTGCACATCTCCCGCCTTACCACCTACCCTTCTCAAATACCCCCCCCACCACCCTCACCCCCCACTCAATGTCACATTTGACTCTGACAAGTGGAGCTCCGTTCAAGTTCTTGACCCCACCCCTACTTCGTGACTGATTTCTTTACTCAAAGTTAAGTTAAAGACTTCAATTCATTCATTTGATTTCGAACCCCTCATACCGTCTAAACAACCGCCCGGGCGCCGGTTGGTGCCTGGTTGGCCAGTGACTGGGTCTACAAGCCTTCGTCTCTCCGGCGATCCACTCTCTCGATCCAGACGAAGGCTCTAGGTTTCAAGTTTAGGGTTTAGGGTTTAGGGGTTCAAGCTCAACCCTCAGCGCAGTGAGGAGGAGAGGAGCCCGAGCAGCGAGGAGCAAACGATGCTCTTGGAGACATCAGAGGAGGAGCTGCTAGCTGGCAAGCCGATCTCGGAGGCTCCCTGGAGCTAGACGAGAGTCTTACTAAGGCCGGCCTGCTCTTACTAAGGCCGGCCTGCTAGCGTAAGATCAACCGCTCGAGGAACTTCGGAAGGAGAGCTACGATTCCCAGTCCTTCAAATACACCCTTGTCGACCCTGTCGGATTCTGCTTGCCTTGCCCCGCAGACCGTGACCGGCAGTGCTTCATGCCCCGTCTCTCCACTCCAGCCACCTCCTCCGCCACAAGCAATGCACACAGCGCATTAGGGTTTAGGGTTTAGGAGCCGGCCCTTAGTAAGAGCAGCCGGCCCTTAGTAAGAGCAAGCCGGCCCTTAGTAAGAGCAGCCGGCCCTTAGTAAGAGCAGCCGGCCCTTAGTAAGAGCAGCCGGCCCTTAGTAAGAGCAGCCGGCCCTTAGTAAGAGCAGCCCCCAGTCCTTCAAATACACCCTTGTCGACCCTGTCGGATTCTGCTTGCCTTGCCCCGCAGACCGTGACCGGCAGTGCTTCATGCCCCGTCTCTCCACTCCAGCCACCTCCTCCGCCACAAGCAATGCATTAGGGTTTAGGGTTTAGGAGCCGGCCCTTAGTAAGAGCAGCCGGCCCTTAGTAAGAGCAGCCGGCCCTTAGTAAGAGCAGCCGGCCCTTAGTAAGAGCAGCCGGCCCTTAGTAAGAGCAGCCGGCCCTTAGTAAGAGCAGCCGGCCCTTAGTAAGAGCAGCCGGCCCTTAGTAAGAGCAGCCGGTGATGGAACGTATGCCAGCCGTGCCAGTCAGATAGCGCCGAGTTAACAAAAACTCTCCTGTAAACCAAGACGACTTACGTGGCAAGGCGGCCGATGTAGCGTATGAGACGAAGAGGGGGCTTTCCTAGCCGTCTTGCTAAGGTCCTCTCATGTCTGGATACTTGGGTTTCACATCCTAGCATACAGTCTATCTCTCATGTGCTCCTCAATTCTGGTTTTGTGTGCATTAAACTCGGTCTTGAGCAAAAACTGTCTTGTTACAACTAAGGTCGATGTGATATCTGCGTGACTTTGGACTAGTACAAGTCTAACAAACTTGTATTCCGTCGGTTATGAGCCTCGATTACATGCTCAATCATGTTGATCTTATATTTGGTTAGTTGAATTGTTTACTGGAGCTTTTTCTTTCTTGGTATCGTTCGTTACTGTCGAAAATTCATGCAATTCAAGCCTTACAAATTCGGATGACTCCTCTCTTCAATCAGGCTCTCTCTCTAGCCGCAAGTTGTTTAGGCCTCTCATCTCAGCCTCAATTTGTTTGATTGATCTTCGAATTGGAAAAACAAGCCTTTCCCCAGCCAGATTGGTCGGTCGAATATCTGCTTAACCGTGTGGAAACGCACTTGAAGCTGATTCGATTTTAATCTTCTTGATCTTTGAGTAGGATCAAATGGAACTACCAGGAGATCTGGCGGAAGTTTCATGTCATGGAGCTAGGCTGTGGCATGCATAACTGGAGCTACTTCTGGATCGGCGAACAAGGTACAACTGCTCAACAATCTTCGAATGCCTTGAAACGGATGTTCCATCTCGCGGCAGCAATCTCTGGTCACAAGTTCTTTACGGTTCAAAATTTATCTTTTGGTCTTCAAATGCCGGCGGGCACGCTCTCTCTCTCTCTCTCTCTCTCTCTTATCTGAACTCCGAAGTTCTCTCCTCAGACTCTCTTATCTTATCCTCCTTCTCTCGTCATTGCATCAGCTCGCCAGGCATCTCCCTTATCTCTGCACTGCACATCTAATAGACCTGCATGAAAATCTTCTTCAGAATGGACAATCCTTGAATGGTTATTGCCCACTCAGCATGACTGTGAACTTGACGTTGTATCATCGTATCTTGACTTGGATCTGCTGACATTCTTGTTTGTGTGACTTTCTGACGTCCGATGTAACGTACTATTTCAGAAACTCGGGGGGAGGATGGAACGTATGCCAGCCGTGCCAGTCAGATAGCGCCGAGTTAACAAAAACTCTCCTGTAAACCAAGACGACTTACGTGGCAAGGCGGCCGATGTAGCGTATGAGACGAAGAGGGGGCTTTCCTAGCCGTCTTGCTAAGGTCCTCTCATGTCTGGATACTTGGGTTTCACATCCTAGCATACAGTCTATCTCTCATGTGCTCCTCAATTCTGGTTTTGTGTGCATTAAACTCGGTCTTGAGCAAAAACTGTCTTGTTACAACTAAGGTCGATGTGATATCTGCGTGACTTTGGACTAGTACAAGTCTAACAAACTTGTATTCCGTCAGCCGGCCCTTAGTAAGAGCAGCCGGCCCTTAGTATTAGTAAGAGCAGCCGGCCCTTAGTAAGAGCAGCCGGCCCTTAGTAAGAGCAGCCGGCCCTTAGTAAGAGCAGCCGGCCCTTAGTAAGAGCAGCCGGCCCTTAGTAAGAGCAGCCGGCCCTTAGTAAGAGCAGCCGGCCCTTAGTAAGAGCAGCCGGCCCTTAGTAAGAGCAGCCGGCCCTTAGTAAGAGCAGCCGGCCCTTAGTAAGAGCAGCCGGCCCTTAGTAAGAGCAGCCGGCCCTTAGTAAGAGCAGCCGGCCCTTAGTAAGAGCAGCCGGCCCTTAGTAAGAGCAGCCGGCCCTTAGTAAGAGCAGCCGGCCCTTAGTAAGAGCAGCCGGCCCTTAGTAAGAGCAGCCGGCCCTTAGTAAGAGCAGCCGGCCCTTAGTAAGAGCAGCCGGCCCTTAGTAAGAGCAGCCGGCCCTTAGTAAGAGCAGCCGGCCCCAGTTAGTAAGAGCAAAGCCGGCCCTTAGTCAGAGCAAAGCCGGCCCTTAGTAAGAGCAAAGCCGGCCCTTAGTAAGAGCACAGCCGGCCCTTAGTAAGAGCAGCCGGCCCTTAGTAAGAGCAAAGCCGGCCCTTAGTAAGAGCAAAGCCGGCCCTTAGTAAGAGCAGCCGGCCCTTAGTAAGAGCAAAGCCGGCCCTTAGTAAGAGCAGCCGGCCCTTAGTAAGAGCAAAGCCGGCCCTTAGTAAGAGCAGCCGGCCCTTAGTAAGAGCAGCCGGCCCTTAGTAAGAGCAGCCGGCCCTTAGTAAGAGCAGCCGGGGCCCTTAGTAAGAGCAGCCGGCCCTTAGTAAGAGCAGCCGGCCCTTAGTAAGAGCAGCCGGCCCTTAGTAAGAGCAGCCGGCCCTTAGTAAGAGCAGCCGGCCCTTAGTAAGAGCAGCCGGCCCTTAGTAAGAGCAGCCGGCCCTTAGTAAGAGCAGCCGGCCCTTAGTAAGAGCAGCCGGCCCTTAGTAAGAGCATGCTGCCCTGCGGCGCGTAGGGAGAGCGCAAGGGGACCGGTGGAAGCTGCGAGCAAGAGGTTCGTATAGTTCAAACAGCTTTCTAAGCATGGTACTACAGTATGATGAGAGCGTTCGCAACCTGCTGTATCGGAGATCATGCCAATACACGCAGGGTGAGCGCTCTGGAGGCCACGTCGAGGAAGCCGCCGACCTCGTCGAGAAGGTGAAGAGCTTCATGAAGCGTTATCCGAATAGTCGGACAGCTTATGCTTGCAGAGCTGAGGGGGGATGCACTCCCGACGCTATCGCTGAAGCCATCCGCTCGACATGTCGGCAGGCGAGACGCGACCTGTTTGAAGACTCTCTGAGCGAATGGAGCTCAGAGTCGAGAGCATGGTTTATTCAACAGATGGAGGAGGCCAAGAAGCAGAATGTCGAGACATACATCGGCACCGAAGGCACCGAGGGGACCTCCTTCATCTCCATGACTCTCCTAGGGATTTCCTCGATGTTTGTTCGACAAGAAGAAAAGTTGAAAACGAAGCTTATGGAGCTAGGTCTCATGGTAGACTCAGTCGATGGAGTCGACAAGGCCATCATGTGGAAAGCACCTTACAGACCTGAGATAGCACGAGCAGACGACATCTCAGTCACCGTCTCCTTCCTTCGGAATGAAGCAGCCATGGAGCTATGGGAAGGCAGGAGAGAATACACTATCGAAGGGAGAGTCTTTCGAGCCACAGAGGTGAGCATTGCACATGACCGGTCGTTCAAGCTCCGAGCCAAGCGAGGACCTTGGGGCAAGGGAGGGAGCCTTGCCGAGCTATCACAGCTCTTAGCTCTTGGAGGAATGCTCTTGCAGCCGCAGAGGTACAACCGCTTGCTGGCATGCTCGTGCAGGGTGCTGGGCAGAGAGGTCGCAAGGGGCCGAGCCCGAAGACGTATGTTGCTGTTGGGGCAAGTACGGGAACTCTCCAGCAAAAAGAGCTGGAGTGGGTGCTAAGCTCGCCTTCGACGGCAAGTTGCGAGCAGACCTTGGCCTCGTTCAGAGAGAGCGAGGCGATGGAGGGGGTGCACCTGACTCTCATCAGCGACGACGCCAAGCTCAGAGAGACGTTTGCAGTCGAGCTCACAGCCGACACCTTCGTTCCTAGGGGAAAGATCGCTAAGCAAAGGAGGGCACTTCGCGAGAGAGATCATGCGGGGCGCAGCAGCTTCAGAGTACAGATCAAGTCGAGGTCAAGCATGAGCACAGGCCGCTTCTCGAGGAAGGAGATGGAAGCGCTGTGCGGAGGAGGTAACACATCGATCACGAGAGTCAAGCGAGCCATGTTGGAGTTAGCAAGAAGGATAGGCGTGACGCCGGTCAGCGTCGAGGTCGAGGAGGATCGTGACACGCTGAGCTGGGATGGGAGCCTGATAGCTCTCTCCCTGGCGACCAAGGCAGAGGCTCACGCTTGATGGAAGACATGCCCTTCTACTTGGAAGGGATCCTGGAAGTCAAGCTCGAAGCGGTGGGGTTCAAGCTCAACGGGCCTCAGCATGAGGAGGAGAGGAGCCCGAGCAGCGAGGAGCAAGCTCAAGAGCCCCAAGCCGGGCAGCAGCAAGGCGCTGGATGGCTGGAGCTCAGCGACATCGACAGGATCACCATGGAAGCAGCGTCGCCGTCAGGGCCAGTCGATCAACAGGTCTTGCTCGACCTCTCGACGATGCTCTTGGAGACATCAGAGGAGGAGCTGCTAGCTGGCAAGCCGATCTCTTTGGAGCTAGACAAGAGTGTTGGCAAGCTGCATGACACCTTCTGCTCGCCAAGGTGTCATTAGGGTTTAGGGTTTAGGGTTTAGGGTTTAGGGTTTAGGGTTTAGGGTTTAGGGTTTAGGGTTTAGGGTTTAGGGTTTAGGGTTTAGGGTTTAGGGTTTAGAGCGCCGGTTATTTCAGGCAGCGCCGGTTATTTCAGGCAGCGCCGGTCATTTCAGGCAGCGCCGGTTATTTCAGGCAGCGCCGGTTATTTCAGGCAGCGCCGGTTATTTCAGGCACCATGGCTGCACGCGTGGTGTAGGGGAAGCTGCCAGGGCGCCAAGGAAGCTGCAAGCGAGAGGTTTGTATACTTCAAATAGCTTTCTAAGTATGGTTCTTCAGTATGATGAAAATGTTCGCAAACTGCTGTATCGGAGATCATGCCAATACACGTTGAGCGGACTTGTGGATGCCTCTGTCCTCGAAGCTGATCTCGTCGAGAGGGTGAAGAGCTTCGCGAAGCGTTATCCGAACAGCAGGACAGCCCAGGCTTGCAAGGCTGTGGAGGGATGCACCCCCGACGCTATCGCAGAAGCCATCCGCTCGACATGTCAGCAGGCACGACGTGAGCTTCTGCAAGAAGCGATGACTGGATGGAGTGACGCATCCAGAGAGTGGTTTATGCAGCAGATTGAGGAAGCCAAGAAGGAGAAGGTCGAGACATACACCGCCTCAGCAGGCAACGAGGTAACTTCCTTCATCTCCATGACTCTCCTGGGCATCTCCTCGGTGTATGTCAACCATGAAGAAAAGCTGAAGAAGAAATTTGAAGAGATCGGACTGATCGTAGACTCAGTGCAAGAGAGTAAAGCAATCATGTGGAAGGCTCCGTATAGACCCGAGATAGCGAGTGCTGAGGAGATCCCGGTGACTGTTTCCTTCCTCCGCAATGCACAAGCGGAGAAGCTCTGGCAGGGAAGAGAGGACTTCGCGATCGATGGTCGCAAGTTCACAGCTGTACATGTGAGCATCGTGCACGATCGATCTTTCAAGATTCGAGCCAAGAGAGGACCCTGGGGCAAAGGGGGCAGCTTGGCAGAGCTGACTCACCTGCTAACCTTGGGCGGCATGACAACGGCTGAGATAGCTGCCGTCTATCGCTATCAGCTGCTGCGCCAGTCCCTTGCAGCGGTCCAACTCCAGCCGCTGGCAGGCATGCTGGTCGCTGGGGCGCCAGGACAGCAAGTCCACAAAGGCTTAGGTCAGAAAGGCTTCATCGCTGTAGGGGCCAACGTCATCTGGAGACAGAGGGAGGTGGAGTGGATCGTCTCCTCGAGCTGCCCAGAGGCGAATGATACAGCATTTCGAGCTTTCCGAGAGAGCGAAGCGATGGAGGGAGTACACCTGACTCTGTTCAGCGAGGACCCGAAGATCAGAGAGGCGCTCGCAGTCGAGTTGACAGCTGATCGCTTTGTGTCCAGAAATAAGTTGAAGAAGGCATCAAGGATGCAGAAGAAGGCAGGCGGCAAGGACGGCAAGGAGATCAAGATCATCATCAAGTCGACGGCGGCATCTGGTCGCTTCACGAGGAAGGAGATGGAGGGGCTGTGCAACGGCGGCAACACGTCTATCGCAAGAGTCAAGAGAGTCTTGTTGGAGATCGCTAACAGGCTCGAGATCAACGTTGAAGGCATCGACATGGAGGAGGATTTGAACACCAAGTCCTGGAACGGGTCCAAGCTATGCATCCTCCTCGGCTCCACGGAGGATGCTCGACGCATGATGAAGGAGCTGCCCTTCTATCTCGAAGGCGCAGCAACCAAGCTCGAAGCAGTCGGCTTCGACAAGGAGCCTGACTCTGAGGCGGCTGGTCAGCGGGGCACCAGCGACGCAGCGCAGCGACAGGAGGAGAGCGAGGGAGAGTGGCTGGAGTTTACAGACCTGGAGAGGATCACAATGGAGGCAGCATCTCCGTCAAGCCAAGAGGACATGCAGCTCGTCAGCGAGCTGTCAGCAGTCATCGAAGATGCAGCTTCTTTGAACGAGACGGGGACGAGCGAGCCGATCAAGCTGGTCCTGGACAAGGCCGTTGGCAACCTCCACGACACCTTCTACTCTCCGGGGAGCCTGGAGTTCATGGCGCTGGGAGAGTGGGCGAAGATGCCAGAGGAGCAGGGAGTGGGACGCAACGCGCTCAAGGAGAAGCTGGGGAAGTGGCTGCAGAGCAAGCGCTGGACTCGCGTGCAAGGAGAGAGCAAGAAGGCAAGGAGGGGCAGCGCGTTCTCGCCACGGGCAACGGCAGCTGCTGAGCTTGAGCAGGAGGCGGAGAGCGACGACATAGAGCGTCGATCTCTTAGCCTCCTGTTCATAGCACTGAGTAAATTCGCAGAGATGCATGTGCTGGCCTGCTCGCTGAAGGTGGACAAGAAGGACCGACTGCGGGTGGAGATGAGGGAAGATGACGAAGAAGAGGAAGACATGGAGGAAGAGCAAGGCGAGGGCGAGGAAGAAGACGGGGCGAGCCCGTACCGAGCTTGAGCTGAGCCCAAGGTAAGGAGAGAAGGTAGGAGGCGACCGAAGGCCAAGGTGAGGAGAGGCAACTCTCCTGACTGAAGCTGAGGAAGCTGAATGGAGGACGAGTAGGTGGCGACTGAAGGCCAAGGTGAGGAGAGGCAACTCTCCTGACTGAGGCTGAGGAAGCTGAATGGAGGTAGAGTAGGTGGTGACCGAAGGCCAAGGTGAGGAGAGGCAACTCTCCTGACTGAGGCTGAGGAAGCCAAGAGAAGACAGCAGAAGTAGAGAGTAGAAAGACGCCTCAGAAGCAGGGTTCGCATTGTAGGCCGTGTACTCCCAGTGCTCGAGCGCCTCTTTAGACTAGGATCCAATTGCACAAGCCCACAACGAGGCCGAGCAACATTCTAGCATTCTAATAAACTCACATAATAATAACAATAATAGGGTTTAGGGTTTAGGAGAGGCATGCTGCTCTGCGGCGGAGCGCCGGTTATTTCAGCACCATGGCTGCACGCGTGGTGTAGGGGAAGCTGCCAGGGCGCCAAGGAAGCTGCAAGCGAGAGTTTGTATACTTCAATAGCTTCTAAGTATGGTTCTTCAGTATGATGAAAAGGGTTTAGGGTTTAGGAGCGCCGGTTATTTCAGGCACCAGCGCCGGTTATTTCAGGCACCAGCGCCGGTTATTTCAGGCACCAGCGCCGGTTATTTCAGGCACCAGCGCCGGTTATTTCAGGCACCAGCGCCGGTTATTCAGGCACCAGCGCCGGTTATTCAGGCACCAGCGCCGGTTATTTCAGGCACCAGCGCCGGTTATTTCAGGCACCAGCGCCGGTTATTTCAGGCACCAGCGCCGGTTATTTCAGGCACCAGCGCCGGTTATTTCAGGCACCATGGCTGCACGCGTGGTGTAGGGGAAGCTGCCAGGGCGCCAAGGAAGCTGCAAGCGAGAGGTTTGTATACTTCAAATAGCTTTCTAAGTATGGTTCTTCAGTATGATGAAAATGTTCGCAAACTGCTGTATCGGAGATCATGCCAATACACGCAGAGCGGACTTGTGGATGCCTCTGTCCTCGAAGCTGATCTCGTCGAGAGGGTGAAGAGCTTCGCGAAGCGTTATCCGAACAGCAGGACAGCCCAGGCTTGCAAGGCTGTGGAGGGATGCACCCCCGACGCTATCGCAGAAGCCATCCGCTCGACATGTCAGCAGGCACGACGTGAGCTTCTGCAAGAAGCGATGACTGGATGGAGTGACGCATCCAGAGAGTGGTTTATGCAGCAGATTGAAGAAGCCAAGAAGGAGAAGGTCGAGACATACACCGCCTCAGCAGGCAACGAGGTGACTTCCTTCATCTCCATGACTCTCCTGGGCATCTCCTCGGTGTATGTCAACCATGAAGAAAAGCTGAAGAAGAAATTTGAAGAGATCGGACTGATCGTAGACTCAGTGCAAGAGAGTAAAGCAATCATGTGGAAGGCTCCGTATAGACCCGAGATAGCGAGTGCTGAGGAGATCCCGGTGACTGTTTCCTTCCTCCGCAATGCACAAGCGGAGAAGCTCTGGCAGGGAAGAGAGGACTTCGCGATCGATGGTCGCAAGTTCACAGCTGTACATGTGAGCATCGTGCACGATCGATCTTTCAAGATTCGAGCCAAGAGAGGACCCTGGGGCAAAGGGGGCAGCTTGGCAGAGCTGACTCACCTGCTAACCTTGGGCGGCATGACAACGGCTGAGATAGCTGCCGTCTATCGCTATCAGCTGCTGCGCCAGTCCCTTGCAGCGGTCCAACTCCAGCCGCTGGCAGGCATGCTAGTCGCTGGGGCGCCAAGACAGCAAGTCCACAAAGGCTTAGGTCAGAAAGGCTTCATCGCTGTAGGGGCCAACGTCATCTGGAGACAGAGGGAGGTGGAGTGGATCGTCTCCTCGAGCTGCCCAGAGGCGAATGATACAGCATTTCGAGCTTTCCGAGAGAGCGAAGCGATGGAGGGAGTACACCTGACTCTGTTCAGCGAGGACCCGAAGATCAGAGAGGCGCTCGCAGTCGAGTTGACAGCCGATCGCTTTGTGTCCAGAAATAAGTTGAAGAAGGCATCAAGGATGCAGAAGAAGGCAGGCGGCAAGGACGGCAAGGAGATCAAGATCATCATCAAGTCGACGGCGGCATCTGGTCGCTTCACGAGGAAGGAGATGGAGGGGCTGTGCAACGGCGGCAACACGTCCATCGCAAGAGTCAAGAGAGTCTTGTTGGAGATCGCTAACAGGCTCGAGATCAAAGTTGAAGGCATCGACATGGAGGAGGATTTGAACACCAAGTCCTGGAACGGGTCCAAGCTATGCATCCTCCTCGGCTCCACGGAGGATGCTCGACGCATGATGAAGGAGCTGCCCTTCTATCTCGAAGGCGCAGCAACCAAGCTCGAAGCAGTCGGCTTCGACAAGGAGCCTGACTCTGAGGCGGCTGGTCAGCGGGGCACCAGCGACGCAGCGCAGCGACAGGAGGAGAGCGAGGGAGAGTGGCTGGAGTTTACAGACCTGGAGAGGATCACAATGGAGGCAGCATCTCCGTCAAGCCAA